AACCAAGAAGCAATCCTCCAGAGGAGTATTGCCTTGAAGGCAATGCAAATCCAAATCCCGTTTGCCAAATTAATTAACCAAAGATTTGACCTGTGTCTACCGACTTCTGAAACTCCAGCTCAACCCAACGCAACCCAACCCCTTTTTTCACCAAAAAGTACTGGGCGTGACAACAGCGCTGTCCCATAACCCGATTCGACCTGATTTCGACCCCTCGAACATACTATACCATGGGTATATGGGTATATATATAAATCAAGCTGGAAATTGCGCAGCGCGAGCGACGACCCTCTTCAAAATATTTAATACCGCAAGTGACCCCTGTCCACCATTTCATCAAAGTCCAATCCTCGGACTTCGTCGGCCAGATTCCTTCCCGTATAAATCGCGAGCGAATAATAGAGGGCAGGGGCGGCGATAAGAAGGATTTTGGGGAATAGAAAACCTATGGAAAAAATCCCTATCTCAAAAACAAAAGCTTAGAAATAATATCTTATGAAAAAACACTGGTTTTAAAATATATCTGCAAAAGCAATAGAACAATAATATTAAACCTTATATAGAATCCTAGGAAGTCCGATCTCAAACAGCTTAAAAATAATATCTAAGGAAAAACATTGATAACACTTATTTAGGAACATAATTTTAAAATAGACCTGCAAGAGCGGTTGAAAAAAATATATCACGGAAATAAAACTTTAGAAATATTATCTTAAGAAAAATCAATAATAGTTAAGATCAACATTCTTAAAAAGTATACCGGAAAAAGCTTTGGAAAAATAAAGATACTTAAATATAAAAAAATTTAACTCATTAATTAAAAATCTTTTATATTTTATTTTAATTTAAAATAGATAGGTACAAATGGAAACAATAACTCAGTAACTAAAACTATTTTATATTGTATAAACTACTACAAAAATTAATTAATCAGGAATTAAAAGTTGATAATGATTTTTCTAATTTTCCAATGTTCTTCTTTTTATTATGGCTTCTTAACCCCCTTAAAAAGTTCACTACCCTCGCCACTGGATGGAAATAAGCCGGAAAATCGGGTTGACAACTTTTCCAGATGTCCGCGAACTAATTTACATACCGTATTTCGCATGTCTGTTTGCCCAGAGTGACCAGTGGCCATCCGGGGACCTTTTGGGCGGGGTGCAAAGGTTACGCGTGCGCTCCGTTCGTGCCCATCCAAGTCCAAATACACATCCCCATTCGCAGGACACATCCACATCCACATCCTTATTGAAACCACAGGATCGGAGTGGTGCAAACCACTCGCCGTGGTTCAAAGCTGTCGCCGCGCCCAAAATTCCACAATTTGAGCATGATTTATGAACCAAATGACCAGTGGTCAGCTGGAAATGATTAATCGATGCCAACAATTATCGAATGGGTTTATTTGCGAGGGCTACGGCTATTAAACACTTCCTAAATTGTAGGGACTATTTGAAAAGGGGTTACCAAAATAAAGCATAAAGGTTACCAATTTAACAAGATTTATTTACACAACATTACTACTTTCAAATGTCGTCTGATATAATACAAATAAAACTCAAGAAATATTCTTATTTATATTTAGCAAAAATATATAAGTGTTATGAGTAATAAGTTTAAATTTTGTAGACTTACTTTATTTTACTTCAGATAGTTAGTGTTTTGAAATATCATTTGATATCATAAAGAGAAGTACTCAAGAAATACTCTTATTGATACTTAGGAAAATTTTTAAATTAATAAAAGCAATTTTAGCTTACCAATAAAATTTTTAGCGACTAAATTCTAAATAAATATTATAACATTGTTTTATATAGAACTTTCAATTTGTTGATTTACCCTTAAAAATGTTTTTATTATCACCGACGGTAATTACAATAAAATTTGTCCAAAAAAATATATGTTATATGTGTCTAATCTATAAATTTATATATATTAAAAAGAGAAAAATCTACATGTATTAAATTCAATACATATAAAATCAAATTAAGCACCGAATCAGAGATAAATCTTAAAGCGATTGACTTAAAGAAGGCCGTGAAATCCTGCAAAGCAGTTGGGATTTCCCCCTGTTATTTTCCGCACACCTTGAATGCCAAATGAAAAGCGCGAAAAAAAGGGAAAACAGATGTGACAAGTGCAAGGCAAAAGTGTAAGGATACACGTACATATATATACAATATGGCATGGTGGGTGTACGAGTATATACTACATAGATACATATATAAATGACGACCTGGTAGCAACGACCTTTGCACAAAAACACACATGGTTTCCATGCATATTTTTCCGGTTCCTTACAAGAAAATCTGCATATAAATTATGTAAATTTGTTCCATTGTTATATTATTAGATTTCAATGCATATATATCATATATTTTCCATTTGTTGTGACCGGTTTTCTTGGCAATTTCATTAACGAGTTGATTGGAATTTCCATTTCCATACCGAAATGCCAGCCAAACCCGTTTAAACACAATCCTTTAGATACATTTTTGGGGCATGCAACAGTTAGAGGGCTTTATGTAAAAATCCGGCTTTTATATGGATCCTTGGCAGGTGCAAAATGCAGCGGCAAGTGCAAATGAGGCAAATTTCAAAGTCAAGTTTACACGCAGCAAATGCTTTTGTGCATCAACGCGCTCCTAGTTTTCCCTCGACTTTTCTGCGACGCCTTCTCGTTTTCCCCGGCTTTTCCACTGACTTTTCCTCTGGCTGAGGTCCTGGGCCAGGGCTTTCGCACACCTTCCCCACTTTTCCCCCCTGAATTTCCCCACCCCACTTGCACCAGTTGCGACTGCATAAGGAATGCCACACTTTGCCCACACCATAAGTCAATTTTTTAGAAATCCACACCACAAAGATTTTTTATACTCAAATAATCATCTCTTTAATTTAAAAATGTTTGGATAAATAACAGTAAAAAGTACTACACTATTGTCTAAAGTATCAAAAATATTAATATAAATATTTCAACATTTTTGGAATTTCCTTTGAATGCTAAACCAAAAAAAGTTATAATTTAACAAAAAAATTTTATAGAATTTTTATTGCATCAAATTACAATTTTTCTTCATTGAGTTTTAGTTTCAACAATTTAAAATAAACAAAATTTGATATATTCTTACAGAAAGATTAAAAATGAATTAAACAAAAGTTTAAATGAAGATATTATTTTAACCACCATGTTCTTATAATTACATAATTATATGTTATCTCATATTTTAAACATATTTTTGTTCTTTCAATTGAAGTTACCACAACATAAAAGTAACAAGCCCACCTACATTTTTATAAACTAGATTTTCCTTTGTTTTTTGAAATTCCAGTTTGGTTCTAAATTAAAAGATGTACAGTTTTTCTACATATTATTAATTTATCTAATTTTTAATAGACCACAACCGCATATTGCTAGTATCCTGGGCACAATTGTTTTGGATGCGCTTTAATTTTTTTTCGACAGCGACTTCTCTGGGGCCTTTTTATAACACCTTTCCCTGCAGCCTGTGGATGTGTACAAAAAAATATATAAAAATAGATGGGCGGTGGGGTAAGCAAATGAACTTTATTTAAGAATGAACGGGAATGAAAAGGAGCGTGAAATAAAAATGCAAGAATTGTTCTAAATCTGAGGCAGAAAAGTGAAAGTGCTTCGCCTTAAAATGCAAAAAAAAAGAAAGTAGAAAAACTGAAATGATATTGCAAAAGGTAAGTGGAATAGAAAAAGCTATAGGAATACTTCAGGCAATCGGATTATGAGTATTTTGTTCAAGGAGTGGTGGCATATGATACTTGAATATCCTTTGTGCATCCCTTTGGCTAGCTGGTAAATTGATGTAAAGTTGAAAACTTTCATTTGGCTTTCGTAATTAGTTGGTAGTTGCGAGAAAGCCATGCGAGTGTGTGTGTCTTCATCCTTTCCACATATGTACACATGCATGTATGTATTTTACATTCTGCGCGTGTGCGTGAAACAACAACAATTTCGCACACATACGAGTCCTGCGAAATACATAGACGGCCAGCAGCTGTCTCTTTCTCGGCAGCTCGGACCCTCTCTTTTGCACACATGTGCGTATTTGTCACGTTTCATACATAAAAGTAGCATGTTACGTGTTTTTTCAGGGGGGTTGAAATATATGGGCGTGGCTTCTGTTGGCAATATGTGTGCGAAAGAGAGGGCCAGTCGGGCTTAAAGGGAGATGGCAAACAGGACAAGAGGCCAGTGTAAATGTAGAATCGCCAAATTTCAGTTTCTATGACAACTGATATTCATTTACCTCTTAAATTGTAAGCTGTCGAAATATAAAGTTAGTGGAACTTGGCTAATTACATATCTTATAGTAAATTCACTTTTTAATTTGGTCATTTACCCTACTTTTTTAAGGTTTCAGCACTTTTCTTTCTTTTTGTTTTTATTTCCTGCACATGATATCCTTTTTAAAAAAAGCTCACATATTGAAAAAGCGCGCCTTCTTAATAAAGCTTGCTGTTTCAAAAGCGGCTTTTGTAGCTTAAACAAATAAATAATACATATGATCAACATTTTTAAATAAAATTGAATTTTATGAACAATAAAATGTTTGGTTTAAATTTTAAGAAGAATGTTTACAATTTGAAAAACGGTTTTCTGAGCTTAAGTAAGCTAACGCTAACTTAAAATTTCCTTAAATAAGCATGTTAAATTCCTTTATTGTTTTTAATTTTTTTTTCCTTGGGCAAATAATATTTTGAAAATTGCGCCTTCTAAAAGCTCACTAGTGGCTTACACACAATTCCACCAGATGGCGCTGGTATAACTGGGCCAAATAATATTTTGAAAAGGGCGCCTTTTTAAAAGCTCACTAGTAGCTTACACACAATTCCACCAGATGGCGCTGATGTAACTGGAATAAAGCTTAGTGCGGTGGATGACACCGCTAAGTTAGCGGAAACATCACTCTGCATATTTTAGTAAGAACATTTTTGTGGTATATTTCAAAAAATAAAAAAGGTATTTAAAGTATTTTTCTCAGCGTCCGACGCGGTCACACTGACAACGAACAAAAAATAAAATAATGAATTACGAAGTAAACTAGTTGTTTTTAGTTTGAAAACAACATTTATATTATTTTTTTAAGTTTTTAAACGAATTTTAGTGCAATTCGTGAAAGTTTTAATGAATAACTAGATCGTTTTCGAGTTAATCTGTGGAGCAAAACCCGTTTGTCGACTAAGAGCAGCGGGGGTCGGCAAGAGGTGGAGAAAGGGGGGAGTGGATGGGGAAGGAGAACGAGGTGGGGAAAGAGGAGAAGCGATAACAAGAACGACGCCGAAAAAAAGGTAGTTAACGAGTTGGAGTTGACAAGCTGGAAAGCAGTGGAAAGAGCGAGCGAGAGAGGGCGAGAACCTGGAACAGGTTACCCCTCCCCTTCCAGCGATCCACCGAAGAACACAGAATCTGCATAACGTTCGAATTCTTCGGGAAGAAAAGAGTGAATCTTTAGTGAAGAAAGCCCCAAGATCGGATTCTTTGGGAAGAACATAAAGGAAGCACCAAGTTAAGAAGCCCACAAGATCGGAGCCTCTGGAAAGGCAAATAAGAAACCCCAATTTCGAATTCTTCTCTTAAAAAGATAATAGGAACCTTTAGTGAAGAAATCCCCGAAATCGGATACTTTGCAAATAAAATCAAAGAAAAGCCAAGTGAAGAAGCTCCCAAGATCGGGAAACTCCGGAAAGGGGGAAAAAAACACAGATTTCGTATACTTCGCTAGAAAAATAATAGAAACGAGTAAAGGAACCTAAAGAAATGAAGCCTCCCGGCTTAATATACCCCCTGGTGCTGATCCTCCTCTATCCCCGCATTGCCAAGACCGCATCTAGTGGTAATCCCAGCGCCAGTTCCAGTTCCCCGCCAGAAATTCCCACTTTCCGGCAATGCGAGACCATCCGCATAGAGATGTGCCGCAAGATTGGTTATAATGAGACCTCCATGCCCAATCTGGTGGGTCACGAAATGCAAACGGATGTGGAGTACACCCTGCAGACCTTCGCTCCCCTGATCGAATACGATTGCAGTTCCCAGCTGAAGTTATTCCTGTGCGCCGCCTATGTGCCCATGTGTACGCCCAAAGCACCCGTCCATGCTATAGGTCCCTGCCGCAGTCTCTGCGAATCGGTGCGGATACGTTGTCATCCGATTTTGCAGGGTTTCGGATTTCCATGGCCACCGGCTCTGGATTGTGAGCGGTTTCCGCGGCAGAATAACCACGAGACCATGTGCATGGAGGGTCCCGGCGAAATGCATCAGCCGCAACAGGATCAGGACCCATATGGCTTGCCGGGACAGGGGATACCAGGTGGATTGGGTGGAAAACTGCCGCTGGATTGCTCAGGACTGGCCAAATCGCATCTGTATGTGAGGTTACCCAGATCCGGACGGTGTGCACCGCTTTGTGAGGCGGATATACTGTTCACGCCGGCTGAAAAGCATCTGGCGGAGATCTGGGTCTCCACGTGGGCCTATGCCGCCTTGGGTTTGGCCCTGGTGGCCACTGTCTGTCTGCTGGCCAGCGATGGCAGCCGCTTGGCCAGTGCCAAGTGGTCCAGACTGTTGTCACCCCTGATCTGGTGCCACAACATGGTCACCCTGGGCTGGGCAGTGCGATTTGTGGTGGGGAGAACTGGCACTGCCTGTGGCACGGATCCGCAGGCCCCCAATGAATCCCTGCTTAGCGTGGACGGACTGTCCAATGCCTCCTGCGCCAGTGTCTTCCTCATGCGATACTACTTCGGAATGGCCGCCTGCGCTTGGTGAGTTATTCTGTATGAAAGTGAAAACTCAAAAATTTGTATTTTTAAAATATTTAACTTTGTTTTAAAACGAGTCTAAAGAATTATTTTTCACTAAAATCAAAATCCCATTTTTCTGCCCTAAAAAATCAGTGTTTTGAATGGCATAATGCGAAAAAAGGTCAAAAAGAGGTATGTTATACCTCGTTAAGCTTGAAATTTAATTTCCAATCCATTGGCATTCAAACCTGAACATTTTTAATTTTTGCCATTTTTCGCAAAAAATAGACGATGTACCCCTTAAAAAAATGCGAAAATTGGTCGAAAAATAAATGTTTCTTAAAGTGATTGGGATCGTTGGGATACGTAGCAAGCTGTTCAAAGCAGTCAGACTTTTAGCTGAACGCCTTGATTTGACTAAACTATGATTGAAAAACTGGAAAGAAAAATCGTATTTTTGACTAAAATCTGAAACTCGTATTTTTGACTAAAATCAAATTCCCACTTTTTCGCACTAAAAATTCAGTTTTTTGGCTGCTATAAAGAAAATAAACGTCAGATTGAGGAATGTCGTACCTCGTAGACCTCGTTGCTTAATTTCCAATCCATTGGCATTCAAACCTGGAAATTTTTAACTTTTCGCATTTTTCGCAAAAAATGCGAAATTTGGTCAAAAATAAATTTTCCTTAAAGTGATTGGGATCGTTAGCATAGGTAGCCAGCTGTTCAAGCCTGTTGGTCTTTTAGATGTACGACTTGATTTGACTAAACTACGACTGAAAAGCCACTAAAAAATGTGTATTTTTGACCAAAATCTGAATCCCAAAAACAACCTTACACAAAATGAAAAAATTTATCAAAAAATAAATCATCCTCAAAATGATGGGGATCGATAGAAATTGAAGCAAGCTGCTCAAAACTGCCCGTCTTTTAGCTGTACGCTTTGATTTGGCTAAACTACGACTGAAAAACCACCAAAAACAAATTTCCCTTAAAGTGCTAGGAATTGTTAGCATATTTAGCAAGCTGCTCAAAACAGTCGGTCTTTTAGCTGTACGTCTTCATTTGACTAAACTACGACTGAAAAACCACTAAAACAAATGAGTATTTTTGACCAAAATCTGAATCCCAAAAAAAACAGATGCACCCCCTTATAAAAATTGCGAAAATGGGTCAAAAAACAAATTTCCCTTAAAGTGCTAGGAATTGTTAGCATATTTTGCAAGCTGCTCAAAACAGTCTGTCTTTTAGCTGTACGTCTTCATTTGACTAAACTACGACTGAAAAACCACTAATACAAATGAGCATTTTTGACCAAAATCCGAATCCAAAAAAAATCAATGTACCCCCTTATAAAATATGCGAAATTGGGTCAAAAAATAAATGTCCCTGAAATTAATTGGCTTCGATAGCATTTGTAGCAAGCTGCTCAAAACATTCGGTCTTTGGCTAAACTTCGACTGAAAAACCACTAAAAAAATTAGTATTTTTGACCAAATTTTAAATCCCAAAAAAACGATGTACCCGCTTATAAAAAATGCAAAAATGGGTCAAAAAATGGATTTCGCTTAAAGTGATGGGGATCGTTTGCATAGAAAAGAAGCTGCTCAAAACAGGCGGTCTTTTATCTGTACGCCTTGATTCGGCCAAACTACAACAGAAAAACCGCAAAAAAAACCTGAATCCTTTTTTCCGCCCTAAAATATCAGGGTTTTGTCTTTCCCTTCATAGAGCCCTAGAGATCAGGAATAAACTTAATTTGATACACGTTGATTCTTCTAGTTCTAATCCAAAACTTTCCTTTTACTTGTTCCAGGTGGGCTGTGCTCTGTTTGGGCTGGCACCGCGACATTCGTCGGCACAGTCCCGACTCCAAGGGCCATGTGGCCATTCCCGCCAACTTTGGAGGCAGTCCAGCGAAGAGGAGCAACATCAAGGCCGCCCAGCAGGATCTAACGCAGAACAACTTTGTGTGCTTCGTGGCTTGGGGATTGCCCGCTTTCCAAACCGCAGCAGTGATTGTGGCTCGTTTTGTCGATGCAGATGAGTTGCTGGGTAAGATTTGCTATTGATCCCCTAGAGATAACAATGAATAACTAAATTCCCATCGCTTCTAGGCGCCTGTTTTGTGGGCAACCAGTCGGATAAGGCTCTCCAGATATTGGTGGCCACGCCTGTCTTTTGCTACTGGATCTTCGGCTCTATGAATCTGATTTCCGGCTATCTGGTGCACTGTCGCACCAAGGAGATCTTGAGGAATAGCAATACCCTGAGCTTGCAACAGCAGCTCCAACAGTTGAGTGCTCACAGTAGTTCGGGCATTGGCGTATTCCTTTTCATCTATGGACTGGCGTGTGCCCTGCTCCTCTTGGCAGTCATCTACGAGTTTGCCAACATCGATGTTTGGCTGGGATCGGGAGATACGGATACGCCATTGTGGCCCTTTTTAGTGCGAGCCTTCATGGAACTAATGCTGGGCATTTGTTGTTTTGCATGGGTCCTCGGACCGAGTATATCCACGCTGTACAAAAGGCAAGTGGGCAATGGCAAGATGGTGAAGCAGCCAACCGCAGGAGGAGGAGGAGCTGGCCACATGGACGGTAACAGCAGCTCGCGGGGATCGCATGTGGCTTGCAATAGTACGGTGGTCTCGTATCATTCAGTGCGGCCCTCGATGGCCAGTGCTCCCTTGCCACAGAGTCCCTACAAACTGAAGACCTCGCCGGGTGCGGGCTCCATATCGCTGAATCAAATGTCCAACTACTCGCTGGGTAGGAGCATGCATCACCAGCAGCGCCATTCGCCGCATCACCATCACCAGCAGCAGCAGCAGCTCCAGCAGCACCATCACCATCATCACTCCTCATCTTCGCATCGCCTGTATTATCCACCGGGTAGCTATGCCTCGCAAAAGTACAGCCAGCATGGCAGCTACTACCCACATTTGCAGCACTACGGCGATGAGACGCTGCTCTAGGCGGGATTAGGCCCCCAATTTCCAGTCAAATGTTCCTGCGGCAGCTGCTGTGCCAAAGTCAGTCCCAGTACTATAACGTAAAGTGGTTGTAAAAAGGACTTAGGTTTAGGGTATCTCTACTGCACAGCAACTCGAAATGGGGAATGGATTAGTTGTTTGTTATAAAATTGATCGTAAAATAACCATATCCTAACTATTTTTAGGTACGTTGCCCTCCCATAGAAAACAATGAATAATACCTATATCCTATGTACTGTGTATATAACCCGGGAAATGCCCTCTTATTTAGTTTAGACCCTTAACGATAGGTCAAAGGACATCTATCCAACCCCCACAATGTATTGTAATTGCCCTAGATGGGCGTCATATCCTATTTTTGGTGTGTACTTAATGTTGCTCCTGATTAGTTGCCCTCTGCGTTGCCTTTTTGCCGTTTTGGTGTAACCAAATTCAATAATCGCTCTTGCCTTTTAGACATCTAGACTTAATGTCGCCTGTGCGTACATATATAGCATTTTTATATTACTTTTTTTTTTGAGATAGAGAGAGAAACACGCAGCAACCAAATACTGTGATACGCATGTTCATGTCTTCAAAAACTAGCCCAGAAATGTGGGCGCTAACTTGCTGTCTTCTACTTCCACTGATGCCGAAACAAGTGTACTTAACAAATGAGAAACAAATGCAATTGCAATCCTAGACGTAATGCCTAATTGTATTCAGTGTGCCATTAGCTTTAGGGACTTGACTGAGCAAGTCAAAAACACAAAAATGCCTTGAGAGATCCGTTTTTTAAACGAACTTTGTGGGATTGAAATTGTTAAAGGGATCCTTGGAATTTCTATACAGTTCTTCGTTATAAAAATCAATTTGCTTGTGTTATAAACTATTTTTATACATTTATTCCACCGAGGTTCATTTAATATTTTTTACTTCAACAATTTCAATGCCCTAAAGATTCGCCCCAAAACAAGGCCAATTTTAACTAAACCTTTATACAACTAGGGACTATACGAACCGTATAGATCCTAACTAACAGTATATGTATTTTGTATTGTGTACTTTTTTTATTATTATATGTAACTTATTTGCTAGCGAATAAAGTGTCGAAAAGTTAAGATCTGTTTTGATTTGATTTGATTCCTGCGGGCTTTACCAAGTAAAAAAGAGTCTCCAAGTGTTGCCAGTACTCCATGAGCATTTGTTCCGTCTTTCGCCAAGAAAACCCCACCCGTGTGTTGGGTGGTTTTCCGCCTATTGCCGAGTGGGTGGCAAGGTCGCCTCACTGCGTGTTGGTCCGCACAAAACGATGGTCTCATTGCGGTTACTGTTGTTGTTATTGTTGTTGGCCTGCGGTTGCCAATTGTCAAGGTCCTCGTCGCCATTTTCCTTGGCCCTCTGGTAGTTTTCCATTTCGCTGGCATATTTGCTACTGGTGATTCCCAGCAAGGAGGCCAGTCCACCGCCCACATAGTCGATACCGGCCAGGAATCGGTTGCCCATCCGACTGGCCTTGTACCGGAGGCGTGGTCCCAGCGCCATTTCGTTCTGAAAAGAGGTTACAATGAGTCACGATAGTGGTCAGCAAGTGGGTGGCACATGTGCCGGCTGTAGTCAGCCTCTTATCTTCAGCACCCAGGGTCTAATTGTTTACTTTGTAAGCACACAAAGCCGTAAATTTCTATGGCAAGATATGAACTGTTTACAAATTCATCAAAATGTATTTATGTTGGGTGGGGTGAAATCACTTTTATATTTAATTTTAGGTATCTAAAAAATTGCTATGAAAAAAGTATAGTCATCTTTGTGAAATTCTTTATTTTGCTGTGTACTATACTTAGCTATCCAGTTAAATATTTGTATTTAAACCTTTTTGATCTACCCGTTTGATGCTCATTGAAATTATAATTTGTATTAACAATCACCCCAGTCAATGTAAATTGACTTTGGCAAGATTATAATTAAAGGGATTTACTAACAAAATAGTATTTGTCTTGAACTTTCCTAGCTTTACTGACATTTAAAAAGTGATATTAAATAATTATTAAAAAGATGGATTGTTGGATTTCATAATAGCCAAATTCTTTAGTTCCAAATGATTTAGTATTGGCTTTTATCAATATTCAATTCGATTTCCATTCCTTATTCATTCGGTACACAAAAAACCTCTACGCGAATTCTTGAGCTTCCTGTGGAATGTTTTCTAATGTTCATTGACCCTCAGTGGAGTGTTCAGAGTATATAATAGTTATCTATCCAAAAACGGATATGGCAATCGCTCAAACACTTTTAGAGGACCCTATCGTTAATTCCCGGTTGACCCACCTCGTTCAAATGGACCTCGTAGCACTTGTCGCCCACTTCCGCGTCCGCTTCGTCCTCGCTGCCGGAGGACAGCTCCTCCATGACTCCATCGCTGAAGTACAGCATGCGTTTATTGGACTGCAGTTCCAAGGCGGTCACATTGTCCGTTTCGGATGCACTTGCTCCAGATCCAGATCCAGTTCCCAGTCCTGAGCCTCCTCTGCTCTTGGTTATATCCACGTTATCTCCCGACATGGTTTAATATGGTATACACTATATATTTAGCCGATTAAGTACCGCTTCGATTGATGGACGCCGCGCGAATGTTTTTAGCGGTTGAGCTTCGCTTCGTTTGAATCGCAGCCGCCGTTTTGGTCATGAAAAAAAACGGGTGCGGGTTGCCAAATACAATTACAACTGCGGAGTGTGTTGCTGGGGGGAAGAAATGTCCTTGGGTTGGGGGTCACCGGCTGCTCACAGTCGCCGAGAATCGCGTGCCATGGGGCGCTTCACTCAGCCAGGTGCAAATCAAATCAATAAACCAAAAGCCGCTTCCACTGCCACATACAAAAACAACAACAACAAGCCACCCAAAACAAAACAAAGGCGCGGCAGTGTGACCAGAGAGGGGCAAACGGCAGAATGTCCAAGTTTGGCAATACCATCCACTCGTGCAATAGTATCGTTAGCAATAATTTAGGTTGTATTAAAATAAAATAAGGAAAAAACATTCAGAAGACGAAGACTTAACAACTAAGCCAATAGTTATTAAAAGCATGCAACTTAATTTTTAATTTTTTTTTTTATTTAATTATTAAAAGTGTTTCTTGGCTTAAAAATTATTATAAACAACTTACTTATTAAAAAACTTATTGCGACTAGAATCGTGATTTCTATATTTATAGCTTTTGGCAACTTAAGCAAGAATTGAAAGTGTTTATTGACCCTCTGTCAATTTGTTATTTGCATTTTGTTATGAGCTGCATCGCCACGGATCTATTAAAAATATGTATTTGTATAATTAAAGGTTCATATTTAAATTAAATTTTTTTAATTGGTTAAATATATAATACAAATAAATTTAAAAATGTTATAATTTTTTTTGTTCTCCCTAACTATCGGTTGCAATATATCTTCTCCTCCTCTGGTCACACTGAACAGCTGTTCCATTTGCGTCGTTTAATTTGTTTTTTTTTACAACAAATTGCATCCGAATCTTCCATATAGGGGATCCAAAAATGGAGTCGCCCACCTCGCACCTGGTGGCCAAAGGTGAGTAGTCCGAAAAAGTGCATGCAGTGGCATTGGGGTCACCAATTCGCGATTAGATTTCCAGGTGACAGGCGTTTCGCGCAGTGGACGCGTACGCAAAAAGTCGTCGAAACTGTTGGATTTTGAATCGCCGGAGGAGATCGAGAAGCGAACTAGGCGCCAAAGTGGCGGAAGGCAAACATCTCGATATTCCGGACGTGGCAGGCCATCGAATGCCCTGCGGGATGTGGATATCGACCAGGAGATGCTCGTGGATGAACCCATCATCTCTGATGGCGAGGATTTCACCGCGGAGACATCGACTACCGTGGCCATCCTGAATTCGGACGACGAACTGGACAACCTGGTGCAGGATCTCGTCGATGGCGTCCAGGCAGAGGCCACCAACCAGGCGTCGCCCGTCCGCCAAAGTCTCTACATGCGCGAGAAGGCCAACAAGCGGAAGATCCTCAAGGATGGCAAGGTGGTGACAGCCAAGGTGCAGCGCAAGGACAAGGGCAAGCAGCGTTACACCGCCTACAGCCTGTGGGCCAGGGAGGCGCGCAAGAAGGACCTTCAGGATCTGGGTAGGTTATGGGATATAAACCTTAAATACTAGTAAAAGAAAAGGAAACTTTCAGAGTTTGGGAATAGTTAGCATTAAGTTTAGGCTTTAGGTAATGCTTGGATCATCCGGTAACTCAGTACTCTTAAGACATTATAAAATCCTATTTTCCTTTGTTTAATGTTCCTTCCAAACGCGAATTCTTTAGCTCCTTGCTATCTAACATGGTCTTTCCTCCAAAATACTTAACTGTATCAAACATGGATATAGCGCGACTTTTTTTTCTACCTTAATAGGTAATGATCAAAATATTCTTTCAGAAATATTGTAATTTTCGGAGATTGATAAATTTTAAAGGGTACTACCATCTTAAAATATTCATATACATTTTATTTATACTTAAGTTTAAACGCGAATTCTTTAGTTTCCTTCTTAAGTTTATATATTTGGTTCCGTATTTAAAATTTGTTTATCCTAATATTATTTCATTAACATATACTAAAACACATATACTATACCCCTCTCTTAGACTTTACCAGCGCCACAAGACGCCTCAGCGAGATGTGGGCGAATGTGTCCAATAGGGACAAGAACGCCTGGCGGCGCAAGGCCAAGATCCAGGCATCCAGGGCCAGATCGCGCGACAGAACCGGTCTGAATGGCACACCTCAGGCGGCTAGTAATGGCAACACAGTTCTGGCAGAACCCACACCGCACGAGACGAGCTTCCAGAATCGGGCGACGACGAGTCGCACTCGCAAATTGGCCGCCGATCGGCAGCAATCCTCCCTAGACGCGGCGGCGGCGGCAGCAGCGGCAAGTACTTCAACGCAGAGACGCAGCATTAGCACACGCAGTGCCAGGTCGCAAGCCTCAACAAGTGGGGCGAAACAACAGTCGCTCACGGATGCGGATGTGGGCAGCCGGACTGGAGGTCACCAGAAACATGAGGAGTCCCAGAAATCGAATATAGAAGTGATCGATGCGGCGGCACACCTGAAACTCCTGGGCGAGAGCCTCACGGTAATTGGCGAGCGTCTGAAGAAGCACAATGGATACGTAGCACTCTCGGGAAGTTTGTCCGTGCTCCTCGACAGCTTGCTCTGCGCCATGGGACCGCTGCTCTGCATGACCACACAGATTCCGGGACTGGAGAACAAGGTCGAGCTAAGCAAAAACCTAGCCGACACGCTGGATAATATCGCCTACGTAATGCCGGGTCTTTAAGGGGAATTTCGGGATATCATAGCAACCATACAATGTAAATCTTAACCAGGCAGCTGAGCTTCCAACTGGGGGCTGAAATCGCCATCGGCTTATGTTAATTAAGAATTAGCCGTCAAGCAGAAAACTTTAATTTACACATTAAATATCCTTAGTTATAAGCAGAAGCATCTCGATCTTGAATAAGTAAAACTATCTATTCCCTGTACTTGAGTGGTTTTCTTTTGTTGGAAATGAAGAAACTAGTATTTTCCTATTTATTTTTCCAGAAAAATTTATATATTATGTTTATAATTTAGTTTTCATACATCTTCATCAAACGTTTATTATATTTAAGAATCCATTATTCCTTATTTTCAACGGATACTATCCTTTAAAATATCGCTATCTATATAAAAATGTAAATAATGCTTAGTTTATTTTTTTTGTACATTATTAAGCTTGAAACTATAGTTATAAACCTTTAAGTTATGAAAATTATAATATTTGTAAATCTGGAACCCAATAAACTTTCACATCTTTGGTAGTAAAACTAATTAATTCGATTTAAATTGAACTTGAAAATATTTTTGAGAAATTTTTTTAGAATGGCTTTTAAAACTTTGAAATTATTTTTCTGAATACACAAATTATACACAAACCTTATAATATATAAATTCTACAATAATTGGAGGGCAAGACAAAAAAGATTGTTATACTTAAATCTTGATTTTTAATATTAATTGGAGTTCTGGACTACAGCCTTCAAACCTAACAATTTTTGGAAAATACACAGCACAAACATTAACATACGCTTTTAGGAATGACTGAAATTTCTCGAAAATAAATCCTGAAATGATTTTCGAAAACTTCAACTATCGCAATCGATAGGTATCGGCACGGTGTGTTGCGGTATCGAAGCGAGCGACTGTCATCGCTAGTTTGGGCATGAACCGCCCGAAATTGTGCCAGATTTCCATTTAACCGGGATCGGGAGTCCAGATCCCCAAGAGAAATAACCATGTTGAGACCCCAGCCATCGATGCCATTGCCACAGCCGCCCGGTAAGCGCAAAAAGCCCGCGGAACTCCAGTTATCGTGCGGATGGCGCGGTTGCCAGGAGATTTGCACGGGCGAATGGAACCTCAATTCCCACATTGCCGAGCATCTGGAGCAGTATGCCCGGGACCAGGACAGTGAGGAGGATCAGCATCACTGCACGTGGAACTCCTGCGACTTCTGCACCGAAGACCTGGTTGAATTCGAACGACATTCGTACTATCACGGTTACTACCTGCACCTCCTGCTGCAGGGCAAACTGGAGTGTGACCTGCATCCGGAAATCCCTGCCTGCACTGCTCCTGCCCGCCTCGTGGACAAGCTACCCATTCTTGGCCAGAATTTCCGCTGCGGCTGGACGGACTGCGAGCGGGAGTTCGTCTCGATTGTCGAGTTCCAAGATCATATAGTAAAGCACGCCCTGTTCGAGTACGATATACAGAAGACGCCGGAGGACGAGCGACCCAAGACCATGTGCAACTGGACTATGTGCCACAAGCACATGGGCAACAAGTACCGCCTCATCGAGCACATCAGCACGCATTCGAACAAGAAGCTGGTGGCCTGCTTCCACTGCGGTGAGCTATTCCGCACTAAGACCACGCTCTTCGATCACCTGAGACGCCAGCCGGAGAACAACAGTGAGTGGTGCAGGGGAATCCTCCACGACTTAACTTCATCCGCTTTCGGAAACAAGCTAAAGTCTTAATTTTAAACTCTTTATTTGCTAGGCATAGTCGATATCCCTCTTTCACCTCCCACTGAACAGGTTGTAGCTAAGAAGTCTACCTTTGTAATGCCTTTATAATGCTAGTCCTAACATCTATCTATAGATATATACCTACCATCATTGTGTTTTCTGTAGATGTTATAATGCCACTATAATTGTGGTGTTTTTTGTAGATGTTTCAATGACATTACAATCTGTATCAAGTGGTGCTTTTAATAAGATATTCGATGTGGTTAAAATCTATTCCTATATACCTAGAAACGCCCTTTTTTCTTTCTGCCAAGTTTAGCTACTTAACTTCTTTTAGGTGGTAATATATATTCTAGTCAAATAATTCTAATCAAGTTTACGCATTTCATTTATTCAATACAAAACCTCCATTTTGCAAACATTGATTTTTCAAGGGATAGATGAATGCAACTTTGATAACAATCACCATGTATTAAACCACATCCATAGGGGTGAATTGTTTAGTCAGCTCAGCTTCTCATTGATTATTGAAAACAGCCCTGCCAAATGTTGTCTGAAGTATACCATGTCAAAATGAGGATGTGCAACCCCCATCAAAAGAAATAATGTTATTAGTCGAGAAGTAAATGAAATAATATAATTAGAATCTATTTATCTCTACTGTTGTTATATTTGTTCACCCTGAAATCTGTAAATCTATCCATTCACAGCGAACAGCTTCCAGTGCGCGCAGTGCTTCAAGTTCTTCGCCACCAAGAAGCTACTAAAGAGCCACGTGGTGCGGCATGTAAATTGCTACAAGTGCACCATGTGCGACATGACCTGCAGCTCGGCCAGCTCGCTGACCACCCACATCCGGTATCGCCACCTTAAGGATAAGCCCCTGAAGTGCAGCGAGTGCGATACGCGCTGCGTCCGGGAATCGGATCTGGCCAAGCACATCCAGATTGTCCACTCGAAGACGGTGCACCAGTGCGAGCATCCCGACTGCCATTACTCCGTGCGCACCTACACGCAAATGCGAAGGGTGAGTCTGTCTTTTGAGTACCCAAACAAAGGCTAATACATCTCCTGTTTTTTTTTTAACAGCACTTCCTGGAGGTGCACGGCAACAATCCCATTCTGTATGCCTGTCATTGCTGCGAGCGCTTCTTCAAGAGCGGCAAATCCCTATCCGCCCACCTGATCAAAAAGCACGGCTTTCGGCTGCCCTCTGGCCACAAGAGATTCACCTACCGGGTGGACGAGAACGGATTCTATCGCCTGGAGACGACGCGCATCGAGAGTTTGGAGGTGACGCAGCAAATACTATCGCCGCAGGTGAATGTCTCGCTAGAGGTAGATTTGAAACCGGGCACTGGCACATGTTACGAGATCGTGGATCCTACAAACACCGAATTCGAGCGCATCATCGTCTCGAATGATCCGCACGAGGCGCAGCTGATGGGCGAGGTGGTCATCTCGCTGCCCAGCCTAACGGAGGAGCTGTGAGGAATGCAGATGTACGGAACCAACGGCAGCTAACACTTTTGATCTCGCGTGCCCCCCTTTAAATTTAAGCACTAGCAGTTAGACTTAAGTAGAAAATAGGAAAATGAGGTGACAAGTCATAACGCCCAGGTACAAAATGCCCATGACAAGATTAATCATAGCAAGTAATCAAAATCAAGGGGTAACGCCACTCCGGAATTAGGGAAAACAACTGCCTTTGTGTAATAACTACCCTAACTATATAATTAAACTAATATTCATTGTTTTTGTATTTTGATCCCTACTAACAACTCACTTTTAAAATTTCAAAATTTATAGATAATTAACTAGAGTCTGTGTTTTGTTTCGTCTTTAATTATTTTGTGAACCACTGTTTTTTGATTGCCCAACATTTTCGTATTCAAAAAAATATACACATAATTGTGGCTCAATTAGTAGAAGAGTATATAAGTCGAAACACCATTTTTTAATTAATAATGCAGAAATGTTATTTGTGTAAATTCATGTTGCGTAAATTTGACTTTATAATATACAGAGCGTGAAAATGTAAAAGTTGTAAGGCTCTTTAACTCATAGTTTATTTGAAATAATATTTTATTTGGTTCTTAAATTATATTTGGTTCACTTTATTTAGTGAATTAGTTTTCAAAGCTTTAAAATACTGTTCCCCGTTCCCCTTTAACTTAAAAATGCAAAATCGTATTTGTGTTTTAACTTGTTCTCAATACGTATTGCCACCAAGTTTTACATGGGCTAGTAAATTTTCGTAAATTATCAAAACTGGGCGAATGTCGTCACCGGAAAATTCATTGATTCTATACAATCATATCTCTAAACCATTATTATTATTTAAGGTTGTATATGCGTGCCTGCCCCTCTGTGTGTAAAATGTATGTGAGTGGTTGGCATTGCCCTGCAGTTCTGTTCATCAGTAAATCACCAATACAACTTAATTTGCATTGATGAGGTTGGTCATTGATTAAAGGAACTGCAGGGTACCTATCCCGGATCGGGATCCATTTGTCATTTAGTCCTAAGCCATTTGACAGTTTCCAGTAGCAACTTTATCGATTAAGGTGTGTAGCCAATAAAGAAACAAAGCCAAGAAAACCACTTTTTCTTTGTTTTACGTAGAACAAATTATTATGACTATCTCCCTCTAAATAGCCTTCTCTTCTTATAAATATTTAAAAAAGGCTAAGAACAGATGTTCCTTAACCATTACAAGATAATAAAGGGATAACAATTTTTCAGAACGTAAAATAGAACTGTTGATTGCCTTTTCTAAATGGAATATCTTTGAGTAGAAGGTACTTCCTTTGCATTTTAGTTTAGGTGCGGTACTGGGTAATGTTGAGATTCCATGATATTGCATCAATAACAGACGCCACTTAATTTTCCTTGGGTTATTAGGTGAAATCTTTAATTTTGGAACTCGGGATTTGAGAATTAGTTTTCTTATGAAAAAATCCCCTCAAAGAAACCAATAAATAAGATTCCATAATGAGTTTTTCCCTTTATTGTTTAGAGTAAAACAATTATATGGGAAAGACATTTCGACTAAACTCTAATTTAGATTGTACCAATCCTGAGGCTGGTACTTCACATATTAAGCTCTTTTTGCCTGGCCATTTGTTTGAGGTTAGCTTCCTCTGCACTCGAAAAAAATAAACACATAAAAGTTGTGATTTTTAAAGGGTTTTTTGTTGTTTAATTCTGGGATGCTTAGACTCGCTCTCAAGTAACGTCGACATATATTTTTGGGTATATGTTCACACCGGAAAAAAATGGAAAACACAACACGGCGTTCCAAATGCTTTTTCCGATTCCGAATTAGATTCCATCCGTTTACTTGGCGTGGGTCTGGGCCTTCCTCAGCTGGGTGAGGATGTTGGACAGCTCCTCACGCTTCCTCTTGGCACGGATGTGTGTGCCCAGGCGGCGCTTGAGGAACTTCAGGGCCCTCTTATCCTTGGACACCTTCAGCAACTCCATGGTGCGCTTCTCGTAGGGAGCATGGCCCACCACCTCACGCACCAGATCGCGCATGAACTTGGTGTGACGGGTTTGGATCTGCAGGATAGAATATTACGAGAATTACAATCGATGTAAACAAAAGGCGGGATCTTGGATCTCGAAGTTGCGGATAAACAATACTCACGTTCTTCAAGCGAGATCCACGCAGACCCTTGACCTTCTTGTCGCCGGTGTACTTGACATTCCGGATCTTGGAGGTCTTGTGGCCCTTGTTAAGACCGATTGCCAACTCGTAGCGCACTGCCATCTTCACTGTGGGTTAAAATGGGGAAATATTAGTTCGATTTTTGGAATTCGTGGAAGATTGAGGAATGCCAAAAAAAAAAACATAGTTAATGTGTGGTTTAAGTTAAGTTATTATAATCTAGTATTATTATTTGACCGTCCGCGTGTTCTAGGAAACCGCCGAACTAGTTTTTGTGTATATTTGCAAATCTCAAAACTCCGCACCACGAGGTTTCTTATAAACTGGGCCTGAAATATGTGCGCGTCTCTTAAAGATATATGTAGATATAGAAATAGACTGGAAGTAAAGGAACAGATTATTTGGTATAGCCCATATACTATGTTCCCTTCCAGCCGCACGCACACTTGCAACACACAAATAATGGCGATTTCCACGAGCACGCGGGCACCAAATAATTCCACAAAAGAACACACACAGAAAAAAAATAGTTAGAATTGAGTGTAGACCCCGTTCTAATAGATGATTTGGCACAATTTACCAGCCCTTCTATTAAAAGTCGGATTATTTTCACGGAATAGCACTCTACCTCAGTTGCTGTTAAAAAAAGAAAGAGCAGGAACAGGAAACCAGTGCAGTATGGCGGCCAGAGATGGGCGATAGGCGGGCGATAGTATCGATAGCTTGTGGCAGAGCTGCCAGACAGCTGCAAGGAAAAATTAAAAATATTGATATTTTACGGTCAGAATAAGCCGCAAACTAGCTTTAAATGGCTATAAGGCAGTACGATTTTATTTTATTTTTGGAAAAAGATATATATTGAAATAGAAACGAATTCAAATAAAATTATTAATGAATTGGGTGTAATGTCATATATAACTTGAACAAAACCATATTTTGGTTTTACAAAGAATTTGCACTTCTAAGTAAAAATATTTATTTTACTACTTTAATATTATTTAAATTCCGTCAGATTCTTAAATGGTGCACTTCTTTTTATTCATAAAAACACCAATCGATTTGCACAATATTGATAATAAATTCAAACACTTTCATAGTTTTATTAAACATTGACCAATAAAATTATTTTAAGAATTTAGTAAAGCAAGTAGACAACAAAAAATTTGTTCGCGATTTTCAGCTTGTTTTTCCTTAAAACATTACAAGTTATAAAAATTAAAGTGGAGGTCAGAATGTTATTTTTCTACCTCCAAAAACATTGAGCTGAATATTTTTTGTTCTAATTAGGTTATTACTTCCAACTTTCAATAATATGATCTGAAAAAACTGTTAAAAATATATCTTGAAAACTTTGGTTTCAATTTATTTTATTTTGTGAAGTTTTCTTAAATTTAATGCCAGACTTACTATTAAAATGGTCTAACATTAAGTAATGGGCTTTTAGTTTTGAAGAACTTTTAAGGAAAATAAAATACAATTGGGGTATTTTTATAGCGCAACGCATTTACCAACACTCCTACGCGCAGCACGGCGGCAACTCCGCTCCAGCAGCTGCCACTTCAGGGTTGCTCGCCCACAATCGATAGCTATCGATGCAAAGTAGCAACCCTGTTCGTGGATGTGTTGCCATTCGATCCGATGACCAGTTCTCCACACACGTTTTTTTCGGCTTTGTGCAAGCAAATCGAGTGCAATTTCAGCGAAAACCCTTTCCTTTGTGCGCGCCGCGTGCAACTTGGCCATTTGTTTGTCGCGAATCGTGACTCCCCGTGAGGCAAACGATTGGCAGAGTTTCGGCAAGGGATGGCAACACTGCCGCACGCCGGCCATGTTATTGTGATTTGTAAAAGGTGGAACGTAGACACGTGTTTAATTCGTGCAGCTCTGTAGCGCTGAGAAATCGCCTTAAATCGCCAGCAAATAAACAAGTAGACCATACAAAACACGCGAGTGCAGTACATTCAATTGAAAACCCCCAAAAATAGTGAGCAAAATAAGTTATCCAAGCGGTTGCGAGAGGTAAGAAATCGAAGCACGCGGAACATAACCTAGTACAAAAAGTGCGTTGTGTGTGTGTTTGGTGTGCCAAAACAGAGAGATGGTGGCAGAAAATGGTGTCATGTTCTGTCCCGAATGGACTTGTGCCACTGTCTCGAGTCCCGAGTTCTTTTTGCATGCAGTTCTCCTGCTCGCTCTCCTTTCTCTACGCTTCCCTACTCTCTTCTATTTTTTTTAGTTTTTGTTTAAGTGTATGCCCGTCTGCCGTTGTTTTTGTTGTTGTTCCGGCAAAGTGACAGTGGGTGGCAAAGGGAAAAATTTGGAGTTAAAATCGACGATTACACAATGCCATCGCACAATCACACTCACCAAAACACACACACACACTCACACATACTGAGCATAAGTATGCTAACTCTGCGTTTGTGTGTTTCACAGCTTTCACCGTTAATTTTGGGTTTTTTGTATTTTAGCTAGAAAGAGAGCCAAAAAGGAGCAGCCACTCCCACAATATATATAAAAGATATAGATATATTTCCGCCCGATTATACAATCCCCGCCCATTTTTGGCCACCATATGATCGGAAACCACGTTGCCAAGATTATAACAATGTGGATTTTTCGGCTAGCTGGCAATGTTGTTGCACCTGGCTTGTTGTTGTTTTGATGCCGCTCGCTCTATCCCTCTCTCTCTCCACTCTTGCTCTTGCGGAGTTTAAAGAGGAATTTAACATTTTTGGGCTGTTGCTTCGCCGCCCCTTTCGTCGGCTTCTTCATTTGACCGCATGGAAATTCGAGTTTCGAGCAACAACAACAACATGCAAGTTCAAAGTCAAAAATAACAACTAACAGAAAGACAAAAAACATGCCTAAACATGTTTGTTTGCATGCCAAGACACGCACGCACACACATCAATATGCATGTGTAAACAAGCTTACGGAATAAGAAATTAATAAGAAACTTGAGAATGGCAAGACGAAGTTTATATACCCTGCCTTTTAATATCTGTAAAAATGTACCTCTAAAACAACAACCTTTGCTTTGAAACATTTTTTTTTTATTATAAATCACAAATCTATCATCTTAGAAATTAAAGAAGTTGGGCAATCATGTCATTTGATAAATTAGTTGAAATAGTGTTTGTTAATTTTATTGAACAACCAAGTTCATAAGTTGCAAACTCTTAAGTAAACTTATAATACTGCCAAAGAAGGGTATGCAAAAAATCCCCGTCACCCAGTTTTTTTTACGATTCGGAATTGCCACAGCTGTCTGGCCGATTGCCCTTCCATGGGCATTTTATAGCACCCCATTAGGCCCCACCCCCTCGCACGGCCCCTTTGCCAGCACGGCGATCTGTCGCTATTTGTTGTTTGGTTGTTTGGCGATTGGGCTTATCATCTGTCCACTGTGCGCCCGAGGACCTTTGGGCCCTAACGAAGTGACGAAATCGAGGAAGGGGTAGCTCGCTACAGTGGAATGAAATAGATTGAGATAGTTATGGGTGTGTTCTGTAATCATTAGCCTCTGTCGTTTGTTAAATTATTAATATAAATGCATATTAAATTATTAAGCCGTTTCTTCAAGAATCCCTAACAATCCCATATTTGACTGGATAAATTGCCCTTAGCCCCACTGTTTAGCATGACTAGCACATTTTGAGACCACTGTGCGGAAATGTTGACAAAATTTGAATGTGCATTTGTGGCGCATTTGGATGGATTTCGAATAACGGATTTCGGATTTCTTTTTGTTCTAATGAGCTCGCCACTCTCTTTCTCTCCGTCCCTCTCTTTCCCACTGGGCTGCATGTGTGTTTGTGTGTGGGTGGAAAGGGGCGCTAAAAAAAACTTTTCACGCATCCTCTCTTTTTTCGCGGAAAGGGGCAGGAAAAGAAGATGAAGAATGGCGGATGGAGTGAAGAGCGGAGAATCGTTGCCGAAATAAAAAAAAAATAAGCCCGAAGAAATGGCAATTAGAAGGCGGGCAAAGTAGTTTCCCTTCTTATATCGAGCAGTCGATATCTCGAACCTCTCGAAAAATTTCGCCGGCATTTCGAAACCGAAAAAAAGCAACAACCAAAAAAAAAAAACATACAAAAGCATACAGACTCCAAATATAATCAAACCCAAACGAATTGATGCCATAAAACGACAAAAAGAAAAATACAAACGAAATCTGAAGAAGAAAAAACGAACCAGTTTTTAGGCCATTTAGTGAATTGGTGATATCAAATAGTGATATTTATTTAGTAAAGAGGTGAAGAATTTCTGGCAAACTGTTGTTTTCGTAACTTTTAGTTTTGTTTTGTAATGATTTCGTAACATTTGCCATTGCCATACGTAAACGTAACGGTTTCTTCTTGTGCTCTCGCACTCACAATCTTTCCTTCTCTTTCTTCGCGTTCTTGCGCACGCGCTCTTCGCTAGCGATCTTGCTCACACTCTCTGTCCCCCTGCATCGCTCTCTCTCACTCTCTCTCGTTGCGTTTTTCCCTTCCGCGTGGCATTCAAAATCGCTTTGCACCTTCTTCGCTCTCTCGACATTTTTGTTGTTGTCTATATTTACGTATTTATTTGTTGCTATAAATACGCAAAAGTTCAGAAAGGAAAAAGCCAAATCAAACACACACAGGCACTGGGGAAAAAAACTTACAAACACGCATGCACACTTATGCAAACAAGCACATGCACGCGGGTCTCGTGATTTTCAAAAACAATTGAAAACCTTTTAATAGGTTTTCAAATTTAAATATAGTTTAATTTTCAAATAATAGTCATGTGGTGGTTTTTACATGCTCAATATATCTAAAATTATTTCCAAATACTATGTAAATCTTATACCGAATTCATTCAGCATTTGGTTATTCAACAAAAATACAACTTTGTGTACTTGTTCTTATCTTTTGTCATGACAAGCATTTTAAATAACAATATACGACGCTACTTAATTTGTAAATTGTGGTCTTGATAAGAATTCAGCAATATTTGCTGACTATACACTAAACAACTAACTATTTGATTTGCAGTTTTATATATTTCATATATATATTTATAAGATACGGCATCTGACGATGTTGAAAAGATTTACTTTAAGCGATATATTGGATTTACATAGGGATCATATTATTGTTTATTTTGTTGAGTTCTGTCTTAGAATATCATTACTAAGACATTCACAACTAATGCATTTGAAAAACAAAATCAAAAATTATAATCTAGCAACCCGTTTAAATTCCGTCTGAAATTTACATTTTGATCTAGGAACCCGTTTAAATTCCGTCCGCCTTTTATTAAAATTCACCCTAGCGTGGGACATTTATTTATTATTACTTTTCAAAAGGTATTGGAGAATCTGGGGAAACTTGTTGAAAAAATAAATAAAATATATTGATCTCATCTAACTGAAAACTATCCACCTTTTCAGATCTTTCAATATTCAGCGAAAATGGTATCCAGTCGTCCTCTACTCTACCTCTCACTGCCCGGTGTAGCATTTATACTCGGCGTCTTCTGGTTTCGGCGTAGAAATAAAAATCGTTTAGACAAGCCCGATGACGAGGACACATCGGCCATCAAGGACTCGGCGATTGAGCCCACTCTGCAGGTGCGCAAGGCCAATGGAGTCCTGCAGAATGGTAAATTGCCGCAGCAACCGGCCAGCAAGTCGATGAACATCAATGGAACCATAGCCAACGGAAGCGGAAGTGGTGGCAGTAACAGCGGAAGTGGCAGTGATGAAAAGGATAGTCCCACTATGTTGTATGGCAAATCCGCACCGATCAAAATCCAGAGTAATGGACGCACCTCAAATGGCAAGCATCAGCAGCAGATCGATTCCGAAATGCTCAAGTCAAAGATCCAAGATGCCGAGCACAAGAAGCTCTGCTCCATAGATGAGGATTTCGAGAATCTATCATCGCCACGTGATCTACCAGATTCGGTAAATACACGTGTATCGTTTTATAATCGTAAGGCCAGTCAAAAGACAGTGGAACCGGTGGTGATCAAGGCCACACGTACACCGAAGATATCGCCGGAGAACTCCTTCCTAGATACCAATTACACCACCAAGGAGGAGTGTGAGCAGAATAACAACTGTGAGCCCAAGGAGAAGGGAAAGAAAGAGGATGTTGCCAAGGAAGAGACCACCAAGAAGTCCAATGGGGAGCAAGAGCAGGAGCCGGATCAGGAACCGGAACAGACGGTGCTGAAGGAGGAACTGGTGGACAGTAATGGCAATCAGAAGCGCAATGTGGATGCGGCCAGCCCATCGCTGAGCATTTGCAGCGTTCAGTCGGGCGATTCCGGCAAGGGATCCAGTCTGCCCCGCTCGGAGGCGACACGCGTGAAGACCACCTATGAGTTCCTCTTCCCCATCAGCCTGATTGGTCACCTGTACGGCCGCAAGCGGACGTTTATTAATCAAATCAAGGCCAAAACCCTGGCCAGCGTCGTTCTTAGCAAGAATCCCTATTCGAGCAAGGTGCGCATCTGTACCATTGAGGGTACCGAAAGCGAAATTGATGCCGCACTGGCCATGATCCGTCAACGTTTGCCTGCCAAGCGGTATCCCAACTTTACCATGCAACGCATCCACTTTGCGCTTCCCCAGACCATAGTTCCTCTTTCGACCGAAAGCCTCTACAATCTACAAGTGAGTGATGGTGTGACGATGACAATGACAATGGTGACGATGCCGCCGACACGACATGGTTATAGCCGATTAGCTAGCTAATTAGCTGATTTGATTTGATGATTTTATGGTAGTATTCCTCCCGTTGAATACGCAGAGAGTATTTTTGAATTTCTCTAAGTGGTTGGACACTGTTCCTGTCGTGTCGGCGCAATCGGAAAGTTTAGATTTCGAGTCCCCATCCATCCATCCGACCAACCAACCAATCCATCCATATATCACTAATGCCTTGGCTAACTCCTAACCCGCAGCTGAAACTGATCGAGGGCATCAACAATGATGTGGTGGTGAGCGCGGTGCTGTCCGGGTCGCATGTGTTCATCCAGCACCCGCTGCATCCCTCGCATCCATCGCTGCCCATGCTGCAGAAGCAGCTGTACGATAGCTACTCCACCATGGAGTCGCCCCTGCTGCCCAGCTTGGAGGTCAGTGCCGTGTGCGTGATACCCATCAATGGGGTGTGGTATCGCGTTCAGATCGTGGATACGGATGCCGAGGACGAGGAGCGTTGCCTGGTCAAGTTCCTCGACTTCGGTGGCTACATGAATGTCGGCTTTGACACACTGCGCCAGATTCGCACCGATTTCATGAGTGTGCCCTTCCAGGCCACCGAATGTATCCTGTCCAACATTGAGCCCATCGGTGAGTGTTTATAATCCATGATGTTTACCAGATATTTATCATATATTCCTTGGTTTTCATGACAGGTGAGACCTGGTCCATCGAAGCGGCCGAAATCCTCAACCAACTTACCAAAGGCATTGTCTTGCAAGCACAAGTCGCCGGCTACAATAGTCACAACATACCAGAAATCTATTTATTCGCTTCTCTAGGTCCCAATGTGAGTATGAACCATCGATCAGAGAGAGATGGCATGTTTGTTGAGAGGGAGATAGCTGGTGACAGCGCGTGACATAATGGCAAACCTATTTCCAGCTTACTCTTCTAATATTATTTTATTTCTATGGGAAGAAAACATTCTTTTGTGCTTAAAAAGCCATACTTAATTTAAAGTAAACCTACCATCTTTTTAATTATTTGTTTTTTCATTTTTATTTATTGTTTATTTTAATACTTTAATCAATTTAAGGAAAAAGTCAAAATTAATATCTTACCTAAAAAATAACAAGTATAAATGTTTTAAAATTATATTAATATTAACAATAACAAGTAAATATCTTAAAAATTAAAAATGTGTAGAAGTGATTGTGTACCTTTTTAAAACAATGGGTTTACTTTTATTTTAGCAAATCACACCAAATAAATACACCCGCCTGTTTTAAAATGGTACAACTAGTCTTGAACAGAAAGTTTCTAACTCGTATTTTCTAATTGCAGAATGTAATCTTTATCAATAAGGAACTGGTCGCCAGAAACCTCGCAAAGTGGGTGGAGATGCGTGACTAACAGCCTTCGTGAACAACTCAACTAGTAACCAAGAACTAAATGAAAACTAAAAGCAAACTTAAACAACAATCACTCAACACACAAATCAAGCAACTTGGCAGTGCAACAAGGGAATGCTTGAGTCTTGTGCAGCAGGCTCCAAAGGGCTGTGTATCCGGATGACGAATGCGGATGCAGCTTTTTTACAGATAGCATGTAGGCACATAGAATATAGCAAACGGTAGATTCCAGAAGAACTGCCAAATTGCAGAGGCCCCAAACAGAAACAAAAACAAAGCAACACGTTCGTTAAGTTGTAGAATGCGACTGAGCCTAGGGAAAAAGCGCCCCCTTAATCATTACATAACATAACAAACACAACACCCAAACGCAAAATACACACACGCATATATGAATAAGAGCACCTAACACCTCACTAACACACACATTATACACAAAAAAAAGGCAAACGTTTGTTTGTTGACTGCCCAGGATTGGATACCAAAATGGGGGAAGGATCAGGCTAGGTTATATGATTTGTGACCTCGTGGCACCAACGGGCGGGCGGGCATCCTACGGATCGGCTAGAACTGTCGGATTTGAGAACGGACCGCTTAAGATATTACCATACTCAGTTTATAAGTAGGCATTACTCTACCTAGTGTAAATAGTTTTTATAAATTTAACAAAAATGCAAAAACAAAAATACACTAAATATAAACTTAACTAAAATATCAAGCGTTCATCAGATATAAAGAAAAAGAAAAAAAATATATATATCTTGGCAAAAATAGAGAGAAACCTGATATAATTTAAATTTTATGTTGCTATTTGCTGAGATCTGTAAATATTATAATAGGCCTTTTTAAAACTGATAATATCTGAACGATCATTTTATATATTTACATGCATTATGTAACTTTCGTTTAATTTGTATTCATACTGAAACTACTCAGACAACGACACCAGACAACCAGACACTTCACTTCACAGCAATTACCAACAAGTGTAGGCGAATTTGAACTCGACGCAACTCAACTGCGGCTAAAACAACTGGGGAAATCTTCGGTTGGTCAAATATTATTTTAGTTTATCACAGCTCTTTGGGGGTGGGACTTTTAAATTTATTTCCGTACAACTAAAGAAGACTATGCAAATTTCACATTTACGATTCGCGATGGCCGAAACCTATATAAAAACAGGAATTAAACATATTATGATTTATGTCAATGGGAACTTGACAATTCCTCATTTTCCAATCCTCTTCAAAGGGATGAAATCGCTCTGATAATGCAAAATGTCCGAAATAAGCTCGAAGAAGTCAAAAAAATCCGTAGAATGTGAAAAACAGGAATTAAACATATTATGATTTATGTCAATGGGAACTTGACAATTCCTCATTTTCCAATCCTCTTCAAAGGGATTGGAAAATGAGGAATTGTCAAGTTCCCATTGACATAAATCATAATATTTTTAATTCCTGTTTTTCACATTCTACGGATTTTTTTGACTTCTTCGAGCTTATTTCGGACATTTTGCATTATCAGAGCGATTTCATCTTCTATATCTTCCTCGGTAGAAAAGTTATTATGGGCACTGAAGTCCTCATTCATCGATATCGGCGATATTGAAATTATTCCCTGCCTGATCCAATATTCCAGTTTCCTAGTTTTACCATTGATAATGTGTTTTGTTTTCCGGACGCCTCCAAAGGCCGCAAAAAAATATTTATAAAACACGCGGTTTTATAAATATTGTTTTGCAAAATTTTTCACCCCAAAGTTTTCGTATGGTTTTGCCATCAAGAACGTTGGAGAGTACAAGATTACTTTGAACAGCTGAAAGTAAGATGGAGATGATGGAGTTAGAGAAGAAAGGAAATTAGAAAAGAAACAACCCCTCACCTCACCTCAACACCCGCACTTAAGCCGCAGAATGCCTAACAGAGAAAAACCACTTGAAAAACAGACAAATTAACAAGTTACAAATTCTAAATATCTATATATGCGTGTGTGCCATTGTTAGTCAACAAACAAACATAAAATAAAACAAAACAAAAGAAAACAAAAAAAACAGAAAAAACTATTAAGCAAACAGAAATGGATACGTTTTCCCCCAAAAAACCCATTGTAAATAAAATCCATTTTGACAGACAAAGAAATGCAAAAAAAGAAAAAACAAAACAATAATTGTTGCTACCAAAACTAGCCTCTTGAAAAACGGAGTGAAAACCTCTAAATGCCTTTCTTTCAAAATTCTTTTGTATACGCAAGAATAGCTAACTCTTAAAGCAAGGAAATTGTTGCAAACTAATCGCTTACCAGTTAGTTACCAATTCTGGGTGTCTAGCCTAGCAGCAAATTAGGTAGAATTGTTCTAAATGCAGCACAACCACAACAACCACAACCACAATACATCAATAATACAATAACACACTAACCAACAAATCAACCAACCAACCAACCATGTTAACCATATTTATTTTGTTCAAAAGAAATGAGTTTTATTTGAAATGTATTTCACATTGAGAATAGATCGGCAGCAACGGAAAAAAATATATAAATCATTTATGAAGATTTCAATATGATCAATCAATCATAATTCAGCTAAATAGTCGTCGTCGTCATTGTTCTCATTGTCGTCACCGTCATAAATAAATAATTTAGTTAATATAACGTACAAGTGATGATCCACACACATATTATATCTATTTTGTCAAAATGAAAGACTTGGCGTGTTATTCTTCTTAGTTTACTATTATTATTATCGCTATCATTATATCATTATTATTATTATTACACTTTTTTTGCTGTTTCTTTTTAAATCTTTCGTGTGTAATTAATTTACCATTTACTTGATAATTTAAAGTAATTCATTCTTATTGTTATCTTAAAAACATTATTGACTTGATCAACTTTTGGAGGGGCCAAGGAGGTTTTTGGCGAAGGGGATGGGGGGATCTCAAGCCCCCATCCCCCACTTCGCCCCCTCCCGCTGCCTTCCACACTGTAGTGCAAATTCGTTTAATGGATCCTTGTTTTAATGTCGCCTTTGAAAATTCTAATGAGAGAAAAATACATTTTAGCCTATGGAACACTAATTATATTATTGGTTACTTTTAAACGAAATATTAAACTTAGTCAAAAGTCTAATTTCAATTTGTATTCGCCAGAGTTGTCAACGTTCTCGGTGTTTTATCGAATTCATTGTAGATTTGTCACTTGTACAATTGTTGATAAACTGATAACTGACATAGAGATAATGCAAACACAACAGACATGATGTAGAGCACATATTGAAACTAATCTTAGTGGATAGCGAGAGAAGAGTGTCCTCCCTTAAAGATCATCGTATGTGTGTGGTACTTCTATTTTTTTTCTTATCTAGTAATGCTGAGAGACAAGAGTTACGAATAAGATTTAATTTATAGACGCATTAAAGTGAGAATAATTTACAAATCTAGTTATTAACTAAATATAATGCAAGTACATTAAAATAAAACATTATTGAAAAGGAATTAAATGAGATCAAGAGTTTTCTTATTGGTGGGGTTTGGCTTTTTCTTTCAGCTTTTCGTTTTTTAACGGTTCTACAAGGAATTATCCTAAGAAATGGCATATCTTACCGCTGTATTTTATTGCCTTCAATGCTAAACGTACAATCTAATTTTATAATTTATGTACTTACCCGACCAGTGTCAAGGGTTCTTATCCAAAAGTTGGATTGTTGTTGAAGCCCGATAAGGAAGTTGAAGTCATCGTCCTAGTCCGATATGGTTTGCGATCCCCCAATAATATCGATTTCTAATTTCCCGAAAACCAATTCCCATGATTCAATGCAATTGATCAAATGGAACTTGCAATTGCCGCATTGTATTGTATCGTCTGACGTTCCGTGATATCTTAGATATTACGAGTTTACGATATTGAACTTGAACCAACAGTTCTCTGCGTCACAGTCGATGGCCAAAGATTTGTTTTAACTTTGGAATCAGTCCGTCCGGTTAGATCGAGGACCGAGTAAAACTTTCATTGACCAAGGTTTGGAATTCTCCCGAATCTATATGTGCTTCCTTAATTACCCTTGCGATTATCGATTCCTAATTGGTTTTGTCTGCAATTCTGTTTTTTTCATGTTTCTTGATTGGTCATTTTGGGGTGATTTCTCAGCTGGCCTAATCTATATAGAAAGTGGCCAGTCACGGCCGGTTCGGATAAGTTCGTAAAGTGGTTTTACTGTGTCTGCGTCTGCAGGTCCGTCTATCGGGAGGTATTTACTACTGCTGACCATTTAGGGTTGCTATTGGCCTGCCGGTTTTTATATCTAAGTCAGGAGTTTTTCTACATAGCGACGGACAGTGGGCCCTGGCTACGTTGCCCCACTCCATTTGGGGTGGTAAATCCATGTATCCACATGTGATTATCTATCTCTACTTTGGGGTATACTCTGTGTTATCAGGCATCTTTTGCTTCTTATTCGGGGTTTCCTTACACCCAGAAAAAAATATTCCTACCATTTAACAAACCCACGATTTTATTTTTATTACCACCAGCTTTTTAAATTAGAGTAACCTGGAATTCGTAGGTTATCTCACAGGTAATATAAATGGCACGCTAAAAGTTAATTAGGAAATGGAAAACATTTGCCTAATGACTTATTTACATTCTTGTGTTATGGCAGCAGTAAGATCCAGTAGATTGGACGGTTTTGGATGTCATACGAAGAAGATTTTGAATACCTCTAAAAATAAATATGGGAACTCAACAGGTGAGTAGTAAATTGAAATGGAAAAGTTTATATTATAAGGAATGGTTTAAAGGAGATTAGACTTTCTATGATCAGTAACCATTTCCTCTTTTATTCTCGAAGTTATCAATATTACATATTTACAGGTTTAAAGGAAGAGTCTTCTAGAGTTTCTATTTTGAAATAAGAAATATTATCTATTATCAGAAACCATATCATGGTAATGATAAATAATGATGTTATATTCTATAAGTATTATTTTTCGAAGACTCGAGGATGAATTACTTTTTTAATTATTTAAAGAATGATATGCCATTTTACCTTTGATGCTTATTTTAGTTATTTTTTTCGAGTGCAAACTGTTTATTTGAACGCCGACACATTGTTGGGTACACTCCGTACGGATTTCTTCTGCCTTTCGGTGGGTACTTCCTTATCCGAGAATTGGAACCCCCGTTCTGGCCGATCTTCGCGATTACTACGATCGCAAAACGAAGAGCACACGAGAGCACGATACTAAAGTTTTGCACCCTCCCCCACTTCGAGTTCACTAAGTGTATTACCTGGTACAGGTACTGCTGCAGGTTTTCTCTGAACGGGCATGAATGTGTGTGAATAATTTCACGCTTATTACCTGCTGAGCGCTGGCGAAAAAAAAACGCTGCTTGACTTTGGCGGTTCTTAAAGCGGCCAGCACCCGTAAAGTTCTCAGTTCCAGCCGCGGCATTCACGGCACCACAAGCGCGCCTCCAGCACCGCCAAAACCTTAAACCCATAAACAAAAAAATAATAATTAAAAAAACTGCAGTTGGAGTTGCCAAACCAACCATAACCAAGGGCTGGTCAATGCAATGTGCTAATTAAAAAAAACAGCAATTAAACAGCAAAACGCAAATAACCATCAACAGTTGTTACAAAGCGAGTAGTCGTATTTTAAACTGGAAACAAAAATGGAGTTAAAAGGAGTACAGCCGACGAATGGCACTGCAAATGGAACCCCCAACGGATCACCGGAAGTAAGTCTAAAAAAATCAAAGAACTTATTATATCCCTAATGGAATTGCTTTTGAGTGGCACTCGAAAAATTCAAGTGGCTAGAACATCAGATTAGAAACAACGAAACAGTCCGTAAATTAAGTATACGCCCATTGGGCAAAACATTCCTTTAAAAACGTCATTTATAGAACTTAATAGAACTATAGGACATATAAACATTTATCAAGTTACCCTGGACTTTCACCCACAATTATGCTTTTGATTAGCCCTTCGTCATATCTGTCCATTCATTTCGCTCAGTGTGGGCTTTACAATCTCTGAATGACTTTATGATCATTGTGATCATTAAGGCAGTTAGGGTTTAATTGCAGGCTAATCGACCGACAAACGAAAATGCGATTTACGGTCCACCCCGAAATGGGGTAAAAGACTCTGTCAGGTGGATACTATATGCATATCTTATACGCTTTACGATCCCCTACGCCACATAAATATCTGAGTACGACGTCTTTTGTTCTATTTAGAGCTCAATAATGCCCTAAAACCGTTAGTTATCTGAGCAACTAGCGCCCCGCTTTAGATCAGCAAAAACTATACTATATATGCTATATGGCCGAAGAGCTGGAAACCAGTTTTCACTACAGCAGCCATAAACTGATGAACAAATAATATATATGAGTGTTTTCCGAAGTGACAAGTTCGCTTCGCCTACTTCCATAATATATTACAACATTTCCCAGAAATTGCAATGCATTATAAAAAGACATGAACAAAATTGGTTCTTATAAACGTTACTAAAGTTGGTAAATAAGATATCAAAAGTTTAGTTCTTGTAACTCTTTACTCACAAATAGATCATAGCAAGAACTCTAAATATATTTCTCAAATTCTCTGTATCTCAGTAATTCAGTTCTTGAATAATTTTTCGATTTAAAATCTAGAGATAAGATCTTTAATGATTCCGCAGTTACAAGTACATCTCTACCCTAATACCTACATGTAAATTGAGGTAATTCCCCTAAAGAGTCATCCTACCTTGATTGCATGCGAAATGCAGATGCTCTATGGATCATCAAGGTTTTTTTTAAATAACTAATTGATTTAAAAATAGTTATTTCCCCAGGGGAAAGGCCCGCACAAACTGGCATGGCCAGCTCAAAGCAAAGCTACATTAAATTGCGGTCAACATAAGTTGAATTTATGGCTTATACAATTAAGGTAATTCCCAAGTTAGAATTTCCCAGAGTGCAAAAAAAACCCTCAATTATGCATTAGATAAAAGAACATCGGTTCAACAGCCTGCGGTACAAATATATTCACATTTATAAATATCTTTGTAAGGCATTCAAAATGGAAAGGTAATAAGAAGATTGTAACACCTTTGCCCCTGGAGATAAAAATGGATAGGTAAACAGTTGGGCTTCGGCTATTTCATAGATATCCCATATGTAGATATGTCTTGATGATGCAGTTTCGTTTTCATTTACCTCCCTAATTGCCGAGGCTTTCCCGTCCCATTGCCCACTCCACCAGATGAGTTATTGTTTTATTTAAACAGCTTTTTTTTCGAATAGTACAAATATGTAAGCGGCAAAACAGTTCTCGCGTTCCCAGCACTCTGATAAAAAAAAATGAAAAACAATAGCAAAGCTCCCCAACAGCTGCTGCCGTGCAAATAGATGGGCTGCAAATAGATTTTAACAAATGGCAATCAAATTATTACAAATAATAATAGTAAAATTATAATTTAATATTGTTGCAAGGTATTTCACGAATAGAAGTTATAGGAAACTTTAGAAGCAACATTCTTTACAGATGGCTCGTGATTTAGTCGGAACATTTTTAAATGGGTCATTCGATACTCGATTTTATAGTATTTTAAGATTTAACTGTTACATGAGACTTTTTTCTTAGTTTCTTAATTAGAAAATAGTAAAGCACAGTAATGATTTTCTACACCAAAAAATAAATCGTTTTTTTCCGCATGCCTCAGTTTTAAACGACAGATGGTTTTTTGCTCAAAACTAATTAGTGCTTTCGAATATTAGTCACCAGCTGGAATTTTATTGTCCAATTCAGGTGTGAATAGTTTCAAAGTCTGGAATCCAGACCTACAAATCTATTTTTTTTTGTTAAAAATAAGTGTTTATTCATAATAAGACATATGAATACTATTTGCTAAGGGATTCCCAGTTAAGGTATCCGATGACTTAATGTAAATCATTATGAATGAATGAAAAGAGAATTTTTCACAGTTGCGCATTAGGCAAATTTCTTTTTCCCTTAATCGGGTGGGCGTGGTTTGTAATTTGTAATTTATAATTGTTATTAATTAAATTTAACTGAGGTTATTACCGTAAACAACTTTATGACTTTGCGAAATGAATTTGTAGGTGGCTTGAAAAAGATTATAGCCCGCATTTGTTTACTACCGAGATGATTCCAAGATCCAAACTTACGTCCACATATAGCTTCAAGGAATTAATGATCTTTGAATGATCTTCAATAAATAACTAAAGAATTCACAATGAAAAATCGAATTTTCTTAAGAACTTGTTGTAGTCCAATATACTAAATCGATAACTTGGCGCCTTCCTTCAGTGCCTACTTGAAAGTGATTCTAATCTAATCATAATTGGGCGTACTAAGATAAATATTCCATAATGGGCATTTATGTGCACTATCAGGCGAAGTGGCGCATTAATTTAACTTGTCCATGGGTTATCTGACTTTGGATCTGGAAATGGCGCACACATGACGCAAACGTGTTTGTCCAAGAGTCCAAAATTCGTGGCTTGACTGATGCTTAAATATTTAGTCATGTGTCTGGTATTTTTGCGGGCTATTAAATCTTGTATTCCCAGAATTGCGATACCACTTGGCACACATTTGCTTAACAAAATTGGCAATTCGCTTTTAATTACAGAAAACAGATGCCGAGAAACAGACTGCGGAGCGTACAAATTGGGGCAATGGCCTGGAGTTTCTCATGTCCTGCATATCGGTATCCGTGGGATTGGGCAATGTCTGGAGGTTTCCATTCACGGCCTATGAGAATGGAGGAGGTGCCTTTCTGATACCCTACATCATAGTGCTGTTTTTGATTGGTAAGGAAGCTGAATCTTATAATTAATCTTAAAGTAGAGAATATCATCAGAGGATCATAAAAGATAATTATTGTTATAAATTAGGGTTTATTTGATGTTTCGTCATATTTTGTATACTCTTTTGTAGGTAAGCCCATGTACTATTTGGAGATGATCATGGGGCAGTTTACGAGCCAGGGAACGGTGAAAATCTGGTCGGTAGTGCCGAGTTTTGTGGGTGTGGGCTATGGCCAGGCGTTTGGCACCATCTGCATTATCTCGTACTACTCCTCGTTGCTGGCCCTAACCCTCTACTACCTCTTCGTGTCCTTCCAATCGGAATTACCGTGGTCCTATTGTCGAGATGAGTGGACCAACTGCGTGAACTCGAGACCTCAGGAGTATGTGGAAAACCTGCTAACCGGCGTGTCCCTGGCCAATGAATCAGCCAGAAATTTAAGCACTTTTGCGACCAATACAACGCAGCTTCAAAGCAGCTCCGAGCTCTACTTCCTGTAAGTATAATACTATATTAAAGTTCAAATACAGAAAACCTTGAAAATAGGCAGACATATTTGATGACCAAATTGGGTTATTCATTGTTGGTTGAAATTAAATATTGTGGTACACAGAATAAATAAACAATTGAAACATTTTCTTTCCTGACTTGTGCACAGAAAGCTAGTTCTTTTCATTATCACCTATGCCATTCACTTATCTGTAAAGTCACCGGTGATGCAAAATACTAAATACTTATTTAGCGTAGTCATCATTTATTTGGATTTCTTTTGTTGTTGCTAAGTGCAGTCGGTGACAAATAAGAACGAGAATTTAGCTGATATTTGTGTAAACTCTTTATTGTCTCACATAAATAATTTACTGCTCAAAACAACGATTGAAAACCCAATAAATTTTCCTTAAAGTAATTGGGATCGTTAGCATAGGTAGCCAGCTGTTCAACAGAGTTGGTCTTTTAGCTGTACCCCGTCATTTGACTAAACTACGATTGAAAAACTGAAAAGAAAAATCGTATTTTTGACTAAAATCTGAATCTCGTATTTTTGGCTAAAATCGGAATCCCACTTTACCGTGAATACCATTTTTCGCAACAAACGATCAGTGTCTTGGATGGCATGAAGGTCAGTAAAAATAAACTAAAATTCGTACGATTTTAAAGAAAATACTGTGAAATCATTAGATAATATATTTTTGGTATACTTGCCTTATTAGATTAACCTTTTTTTTTAATGAGATCATTTCTTTTAAATGCCATAAAAATAATTGGTAACCGTTTTCTTATCCTTCTTAGGAATGTAGTGATCAAGGAGAAGCTGGACATAACGGACGGCGTTGGTGACCCCAGTTGGCAGTTGACCCTGGCCCTGTTTGTCTCCTGGGTGGTTATCTTTCTGGTGATCATGCGTGGGGTCAAGAGTTCCGGCAAGGCGGCCTATTTCCTGGCCCTTTTCCCGTACGTAGTGTTGTTCGTCCTTCTTATCAGGGCGGTGACTTTGGAAGGTGCCCGCGAAGGCATAATCTTCTTTCTGGAGCCCCAGTGGGGGGAACTCTTGAACCCCACCGTTTGGAAGGAAGCGGTGGTGCAGTGCTTCTTCTCCCTGGCCGTTGGCTCTGGACCCATCATCATGTTCGCCTCGTACAATCGATTCGATCATGGGATCTACAGGGATGCCATGATTGTAACCACACTCGACACGTTAACCAGTCTTCTGGGTGGAATTACGATATTTGCGATATTGGGGAATTTGGCGCATAATCTACAGATTGATAATATCCGTGATGTGGTGCGAAGTGGCACGGGTTTGGCCTTCATCTCGTATCCGGATGCCATATCAAAGTTCCAGGCGGTTCCGCAGCTCTTCTCAGTTCTCTTCTTCTTCATGCTCTTCGTTCTGGGAATCGGATCCATTGTGGCCCTGCAAAGCACCATTGTGACCATTATTTGCGACCAGTTCAAGGGATGGAAATACTGGAAGGTGGCGCTGACCACCTCCGTGTGCGGTTTCCTAATGGGCTTGGTCTACGTAACGCCGGTAAGTTCCGTATAAAATATCAATACGTAATCTTATATTTAATCATAATATACTTATTTCTAACGTTTCAGGGTGGTCAGTGGATCCTCACTTTGGTGGACTTTTATGGCGGTACCTATGTGGTCTTTATTCTGGCCATTTTCGAACTGGCTGGAATCGTGTGGGTTTATGGTGAGTGTACTTTTAACCGGCCAACATTTCTTACTTTTGGTGACCCATGATAATCCTTACAGGTCTGCAAAACTTCTGCGATGACATCGAGTTCATGTGCAATCGTCGGGTTTCACTTTACTGGCGGATGTGCTGGTCCTTCTTCACGCCGGTCATGATGATAATTATATTTATATACTCAATGGCCACCATCGAACCAATTAAATACAGCGAAATTTATTTCCCTGAAGCCGCCAATGGTAAGCTGTTAATTGAAAAGTTAATAGTTGGATTGGAGTTAAGTTTTTATTGCCCATTTTATTGCCAATTTCAGTTGCTGGCTGGCTGCTGTTTGCCATCGGAGCTGCCCAATTTCCACTATGGGGTATTTGGTACATCTCGCGTCATTCAGAAGGCACCATTTGGAAGGTAAGACTATATGTAATTTTGAAAATATTTTATTATTTTTTAAAGTATCCCATATCGTTAATTTGTAATACATTTTTCCTGATTCAAAAAGATTTGTATTTTATAATATTACAACTCTTTAAGTAATGGTACCTTATATGATCTGAAGTAGGCCATTTAACTTTGCATACAGCTTTTGATTTCCAATTCGTCTCAAAAATTAAAACCGTATGTATCCCATTTATTTACAGTCCTTTAAGGCCTCCCTGAAGCCCAGTGACCGATGGGGTCCTGCGAATCCAGATACAAGACGTGAGTGGGTAATCTTCAAGAACCAGAAGGCTGCCCAAAGAGCCGCCCAGAAGGAGTCGTCTAAACTCGGATTCTTCTGGCGGAAAGTGACCAATTTCTGCGGCAGCAACAAGTAAAAGCCGATCTATAGAACGGGGAGCAGAGGTGGGGATATCGTGGGGATATCAGAGATTACGATTAACCATAACCACTTGTTATTTATACATACATATACGCCATTGTCAGCCTCTATGAAGCCATCACAAATGCGAAGCAATCCTTCGACCGAATATATCGCATCTATCAATTAATAAATACCTTTTTTTTGTTATTCTATGTATGTACAAACTTAATTTCTAAATGTGATAATATTGAGCAGAAAAAAATAAATTATTGTTATCAAAGAAATGTTCATTGGTTTTTCATTTATACATTATTTTTCCTAAATAAAAGTGGGATTAAAAGGTAATGTAAACCATCTCCTTAACTTTTATGTGGTCATCTTTATTTTACCAACTTATGACAAAAAAAAACACCCAGAGAATTTGTATATTCTACAAAATCCCATTCTGTTATTCTTTAAATCCACCAATTAAAAACATCCATTCCCAATTTTTACTTTTATTTTATTTTTATTCAGTTTTTGTTTGTTTTTCTTTCATACAAAGCCCTTTATTATTGTTAAAATTTCAATTATTCTCTTTGGTTTTTTCTTCATTAATTAATAATTTACAGTTTTATGAGTTTTCCTCTTTCCCCTCGACTTTCATCGATCTCTCTCTTGTTATGGTTCTTCTTTCTTTTACTTATCGTTTCCTTGGGGTTGTACATTATAACAGTACAGCAATTGATTTTATGTAATATGGTAAATTTGCTATAAATAGTGGGAATTCTTATGAGGTAAATGCTTAATGAGCAAAAAAAAAACAATTACAATCGTCATCAGATCAGATCAGTTTATACTACATACATAATACATATAATATATATATGTATACAAAATAACAAATCGTAAGTCTAATAAACATTCTTAAAATTCATATCTCAAATACAAATACAATATTTGCTTTAGCTGTTAGTTGTTCTTAATTTGTTTTGGTATCGGTTTTGGTTTTGTTTTTGTTTTTGTTCAGTGTATTCGTTTTGGAAAGCGACGTTCCTAACTTTTTGGGATCGTTTTTCAATCAAGCATTTTACTATTTCGTGTATGTAGGTGTTGGGTTTAGGTTTAGGTTTGGTTTTTTTTTTGGTTTTTAAATCGTAAAATACTAATTTAGCAAATGTAGGCACCCTAAATATTAAAGCTTTTGCAAAACACGGTTCCTCGATAAGATATAACAATATATTTTGTTTGGGGTTTCCCTTTTTAAATTTAAATATACAATACAGTAAATTCAAAATAAACTATTTCATTAGCCACTGAATTTTTTCTGTTTTTTTCTTTTAGTTTTTTACTTTATTTCTTTTAGAAATTAAATCTTTTTTCCTTTTTAGTGGTTTTAATTTTAATTTACTTCAATTTTAGCATTAGTGTAGGTTTAGTTTTAGTTGACATTCGTTAGTTAAGTTTTGGGTTTCTATTAGTTTTTCTTCTCTTTGTTTAATTCATGCAATGCATTCTAGTTTACTTTGTTTTTTTTTTCAATAAAAAATTGTTTCTTCCTCCTCTTACATTTTTATTGTTTTATTTAACATAATAATTGTTTTCCATTTGGGTTTTTCTTATTAGTTTGTTGTTAATAAATTGGTCTTTGCTTCGGCTTTCGATTTAGCTACTGAATACATTACTATAATACATATAAAGTCAAATATGATCTTATTAGTGTGGGGTTTTGGGTTTTTTGGTTTTTAGGGCTTGGTATATACCTCATAGACCGTCTGTACATGTATATACGAGTATATGTGTGTTGTATATCTAGATATTGTATATGTAACCTTATATATTTTGCATACCTCGCTCGAGTTGGGGGCGCGGGGAGGGGGAAGGGTTATGGGGGATATTTTTGGGAGGACCCTTTTCTAGTTCCTAGCGTGTAAATTCACCAAAATGACTGCGTTTTCGTCATAATCCGGTTCGATACATTTTCGAAAACTCGAATCCAGTTTTTGTAGCGTTGGCATTGGCTGGGCTATATGTATGTTCTATTGGACCTGGTTTGGCTAAAAGAGTTTCGGCTGAAGCGTGATTCTCAAAGTACCCCTTGAGCTCTATGATTCGCTAAAGAAAAGAAAATATATATTTTTTTGATTCAATTCTGGTTTACGTGAACAGAAATACATAATATACACAAAAGCTGGACGTGGGACTCGGACCTATGTATGACGTTACGAAAGTCAACCAAGGACATTGTGCAATACGATCCTTATTTGTGTTTTTTTTGTTTCTTTTCTTTTTTATATCCCAGCTCAAAAGCGGCTAAAAATCTTCGGTATTATAAATTGTTACTGTTTTGGGCTCAGTTTTTGTAGGAATTCTTTGTTAGTTGGTTTGCTTTTGCTTTGTTATTTTGGTTTAAAGTTTTTCGGTATTTTGTATAATAAAGACCTGTCTTTGGAAATTCGGTCCCTCATATCAAAGTTTTTGGTTTTTATCTCGTGTTTAAAGGTATTTTGTGGGGCTTAGGAAACCAGTTCAAACGGGATTTTGATCTTGTACCAATTATTCAATTCAATTCGATTTGATTTTAATCGTATATCGTTAATTGTTAATCGTATATCGATCCTTGTTCGGTATTATTTTGCGTATTCGTTTTAAGTTGTTGTAGAGTTGAAACCCAAATATGCATAAATACATAACGTTAAAGCTGGGCGCATTCCATATCTCGTTTCAGAATCTGTGTGTTATTGTGTGTCTTTGGGTGTCTGTTCCGATTCGATAACCGATATTCATCGATCTCTTTAGTATTGTTCTGATCTGTTCTGTTCTGTTCTGTTTGGTGTGTTGTCGTCTTGTGTAGATCTTTGTTATTTATTGTGATAAAGCTATTTTGACAGCAGTCTTGAACGTTCTTTTCAATTTAAATATTCAATATTATAAATAGGTATACACACATTTGTTTAAGGGTTCATTTAGTTGGTTTGTTTGTTGTTTCTTCTCCTTTGACTCATTTACTTGTCTGGGATTTTTGTTGCATGTATATAAGTTAAGACCTATCAGACAATTGGGGGAACTTTATGGGTTTTTCTTTTTCATAAAATCAAACTCAAGCCAGGGGTTTTGGAGATGTGGAAAATCAATACGGCAAAACTTTGATACTCTTATTAGTTGGCTAAAGTGGACTGCATCCTATGGCTATATAATCTATAGTTTACAGATATTTTGATCCTTTCTGGCCCTGGTTCTGTATAATATGCAGAGTCTGTCTTACTGACTGGGAAATTGGGAGACGGGGCGTGGTAGGAACCGGGATTTTTGGGGAGGGCGGGGCACTATTCGGGGAATTCAGTTGTATATCTCTTTTGCCTTACATTTGGGAACCTAACAAAGCGTCAGAAGGTTGCATATTACCTAATTTTTTGTTACTTTATTTTTGCTTTGTTTTTCTTTTGGTTTTAAATAACTTCGATGCTCTCAGTTAATACTTTATAGTAAGTATATAGTATATATAATGTTCCTTTTAGAATCTTTAGAAAATCTTTACGTAGCTCGGCCACTTCTGCTATTATGTCTAAACTATTCTGCTCTACTCTTTTCAATTTCAATTTCAATTTCATATCAATTTCAATTTCAATCCGCTTCTTTTCGTTTCGGTTCTATTATTTTCTATCTGGAGCTTGTAGTTTGTTCCGTTGTTACACATTTACCAGCTAGTTTGTATATTAATGCGAATTACTTTTAATATGTTACAAAATTTCAATTAAAATTGTTCACTTTAGTATGTAGACTATACTAAATAGGTTCGTTTTCTTGAATTTCTTCTCAATTGTTTCTTGGTTTTGTCTACGCTACTATATCATTATATCATCGTCTTAAACTTCGTTCGAAAGCTATTCAGGTTCTTAATTGAGTTAATAATTCTTGGTAGAAAAGAATAGGCCAAAAAACAACAACAACGAAAAAATATATATGTATATATACTATATATATTATAATATATGTGTAGAAAAAGAAGACAACAACAAACTTGTTTCCTTTAAACATGTTTCGTTAGTTTAGTTAAAGCCAGAGCTAGTAGATGTTAAGTAAGAACTCTCATTTGTGTGTGTTTGTTTATCTTTATCCTCGTTTTTTTTTGGGGGTTTTCCGTAGTTTTCATTTATTTACTTTTTGTTTTTGTTTTCTATCTCTTACTATTTGGTTTTCTGGTTTCGCTGTTTTCTAAATCTCGTAACATACATTTTACAGTTAGATAGTTTTTCATTGTTCTTGGTTGGGGGGTATTTTAGTTTTTTTTCCTTATGCTCGTTTTGTATATAATTGTTGGGGTTTTTTTATGGGTTGCTCGTATGCTTTCACTTTCGCCTTGCACACACAGTCAGGTCAGACACACATCCTTCGGATACAGACATATACATATATCTCTTTATATATATTTACACACAAATTTTGGACAGACGGACACTAGAATTTGCCATGTTCGTGGATGTGTTGCAGTTGGTTGAATGCACCGGAAACGGAAGTGCTAAGGGGGATCTTTCAAGGGGGGTTGCATTTCTCTGGGAACATATGTATGGGTTTGCAGTTCTACTAGGGGTATACAGATACTGGTCTCTAGTGGGGTCTTATGGTGCCAGATTTTTCAGGTTTACTTTTGCTATTTTTGCTTTGCTGAGCGTTATTCGTTTATATACTTCGATTCTACTCGTACATGCTGCTGTCCTACGATCTATATATGTCCTATGACCTTACTTTCTAACCATTCTCGCCCTGTACACTCGCATTCACACACATACACACTATGTTATGCTATGTTATGTATTTTAGTATGCAAGTACAGGCTGCCTTGGCCCAAGGTGAAATATTACAAATACATTTAGCCTAAAACTTAGAAAAAAAAATTTACATAATTGTATATATATGTATACATATATTCTGTTTGGTTTTTTGTTATTGTTTTTTTTTTGGGTTGTTTTTTTGGGAGTTTTATTTTTTTTGGGAGGGCTATACATCCATACAGATACGGATATATAGTATGTGTGTTTGTTTTATGTATGTATATTATATGTATATGCTAACATTTGACTTTTTTTCTCATCTCGAAGAGGCTTATTTACAAAAGGCCGAGTTCGAAATTCGACTTGTAGAATTACTAATATTACTATTACCTCTATTATTCCTATCACTATAGCTAGCACTATTAACTACTATTATTGCATACACGTTCTCTTTTCCTAGTAAACTTATTCGAGGCAATCGGCTTGCCACTCTCCGTCGCAATCGGTTCGTTCATCGTTATCGATTTGACAATGCCACCGCTAGTTCCGCTTCCGGTCGCTGTGAATGCGGGCGTTGAACTCGATGGCGGTACTGTACTCATGTGCACATTTTGCTGATCGGGCGAACAGTTGCTATTCGTGTTCGATTCGGCATCTTCGGGTATCACTGATATTGGTATTATCTCTCTTTCCATTTCCAGCCCACTTATCTGATGCAAAATGTGTTGGTCTTGCGATTGTGTCGATGATTTCGATAACGATAACGACGGCGATGGCCCGCGTTGCCTCAGCGCTGTCTCGGCGATCGCGAATTCGGGTTTAGACTTTGACGTAGACATTGATGTTGATGTTAAGTTTTGGGGTGCGGATGTTGATGATGATGTTGGCCAGCATCGATCCGGCCTTATTGTTAGCATCTCGATGTTAATCACGGAGTTGGAGCGCTCTCTTTCTGATATTCAGCTGCCGTATTTGTTGGAAGATGCGTAGCTATTAACTGCAGATCCATTTGATGGCATGTGAGTATCAGGCACTAAATGTGGTGTTCTACTAGATATAGGTGGCAAAATAGGGCTTGTTGGCCAATGGTAAGTAGCAGCGGCGTTATTGGATGAGGGAACACTTCTATGCAAAAAGCAGTATGTTAATTGTCGTTATCAAGTACGCTTTCAAAAAAAAATCAAATTTTTGTTTCTGTTTTTTTTTTTGTAGTTTAATGGCCATGGTTTGATTCGATGGAAATCATGAAATGTCAGAGTGATGGAAAGCCATGAAGAGTCAATAAAGAGAAATAAATGGTAAATTGAAAGCCCTAAGGTTAGTGTTCGTCCAAAGATAGGAAAATAAAAGAAGAGCCAAAAAAGTAACCTTAAGGATTTTTTTTAATGGTTTCCTTTTGTAAATGTACTTGTAATGTCCTTCTAACCTTTTTTTTTTAATGTATAAACTTATAATAAAAGGAAAACAGGAACAAAAAATGAACTTCTTTACTTCAATTGACTTTCTCTAAGATATAAACTATAATTTTCTCAATCACAGTCTTAAATCACTTGAATCTTGCATAGAAGACGGAGTAGGTTTCTCTTTTAATATATACAATTTTTTTTCATTTTTTTTTTTGGGTAGCCACAGGGATTTTGGGTTGTAATTTGGAGGTATCAAGTGTGTGCAATGGACAACTACGTAGTATATATTTACAAATGAGTACGCGAGATGACGGAATGGATGGGTTCGTATAGGGGATGTTTTTGGGATGTGGGGGGATCTGGGGACCCCGATATTCCCGGCAAGGAGACAAACGACTCGCAGACGAACGAACAAAAACAAATTGAAATGACAAGCACAAATCTCGCTTTAATGATATAGACATATGGATGGATTTAAGTGTGTGTCTGTGCTTGGATGAGGATAATGGGCATGGCTCATAGACATATAGAGATAGACAGAGACAGAGACAGACAGAGAAAAAGAGACAGAGACAAACAGAGAGAGAGGCGAGAGAAAGAGAGGGGACGACTCACCTAGAATGGGGAAACAGCATGGGCGCTGCATTGAACATCGATTGGGGCGTTGGCGCTTGAATGGGGGCAACTGCAGCTGTGTCAGGATGTAAAAAGTTCCGCCGCTGCTCGATCCGCTCCTGGTGCTGGGTCAGACATCGAGACAATAGGTCTGGAAGGCTTTCCATGTGCTCCTGCAATAAAATATTTCCGAAAGGGGAATGGGTTTTTAGTAAATCACAACTGAAATAAACCAGCACCGATTGTTTGTCATACTTGTATGCTCTGCATTTTGTCCTCTAGGTTGGTTAGGCGCTCCTCGATGGCATCCTGACGGCTAGACATGTCCGATATTATCTCGTAGACCGTGTTTTGTGTCTGCGAACGGTATTCACACAATCACAAACATGCATTACACAACGGCTCAATCACAAATCAAGTGTGTTCTATAAAGCCATACAGTCGAACCTCGATAAATCGAATCTCAAACAGAAATATCTTTGATTGTAAGCAAATCAATGTGATTTCTCTGGAATAATCTGTTAAAAATATCCTATCGATATAAATAGAAGGTTCTTGTTTTCAAAGCAGAAATCGTTATCGGTTAGTCATTGTCTATCGATTTCTTGCAGTTTAATTATTTAAATTATTATTCAAAAGTAATCAATAACGAAGTTCGACTGTATTTTTTCTGTTTTCTAACTACCTTGGCCATGTCAGTTATTGTGTTTGCATTATCCATTAGTTTGCGCTGATCCATTTTTACTTTTCGCAACCTGCATCGCATCGGAAGAATCATCAATATTATAGAGAAAATTATTTAAATTCAATTTGATAGATCGCCAACACATAATACTAAGCGCGTAAAAATAATTAGGCATTTTCTTACAATGAAAACACACTCACAAACGATTTTTTATTTGAGTGTGGAAGATTCTTCGTTTCGTCTAGCCGAAAACTCTCTTTCCATCCAGGAAAAACACTCAAATAAATTATTATTACATATCGGACAAACAGGTAACAGTGGGTTTCGAAACTTTAAAAACACAAATTTATAAGATAATTTAAAATGTCCGATAGATAGGTATAATTTTTAAAGTTCTAGAGGCAAGTCCATATTTCTTTATAGTTTCGAATCGCACTGCTCATAGATAAGATTCACTGAAAATGTTATTTATTTGTTTATTATTATTTTTTTGGTGTGAAGAATTCGTTGTGCCGTAGTTTATATAAAGATTATACAGGAGTAAGCAAAAAATTCCATATTTCTTTTTGGGCGTTAAAATTGCAGAAAATCGTATCGTGAAAGTATCATCATATCATTCGGCTGAACCCTAAGCCAATCCCCGGGCGTAAAATATGAGGTGGCAAGATGAAACTAAGACGATACACAGGATTTAATGGGACGGGATCAGAAGTTTTGGACAGAGTACAAGAATCGGGTGTTACGAATGCAATGGAATGCTGTGATGGCCTTTTGATTTTTCGTTTGGCAGTTAGTAATTATGATGTAATGACATTTGGGCACTAGGCAAAAGCACAGATGATATTGCGATAGTTTTAGATACGAGATTCTAGAATATTTAACGCAGCATGCTAGGTTATGTGGCTAGTCTCGGTTATTGCATAACGTAAAAACAGGGCTTTACAACCTATTTACAGGCTAGTAAAACGAGTTCAATCATTTGTGGTTTCAACATTTCAGTTTAGTACTTGTTAGGTAATTATCGTTTTTAGTATTTTGATTAGTTCGTATTTTTTCGTTTTTCGTTAAGGTTACACTTTCTTTACGTACGGATGTATATACAGATATCTGATGGATGGCTTTCCCAAAAGCTTTTCTACGATTAATTGATGGGCACAAAGATGATTCGATTCTAATTATGAATGGAGGGCGTCAGGACAGGAAACAGGACAGGGTTAGTTTTACGAACCAGGGAACGGATACTTTCTTTTTTTTTTTGCAACTAATCTGACAAACATATAACGTACAGATATTTATGTGGACAAATGAGAGCTTGTTTCACGAGAATAGATAGAGACGAAAAAGCGACAGAACATATACGATCAATGATTTCCCCAATCCAAAGACCCTGGGGTCTACTACTAATTCAATCTGATATCATTTTGGTTCTTAGTTAGTTTCTAGGCACTCATTTCGATTTAAGTTATTATCTTTTTGATTGGTATTCGTTCTTAGTTGTTGGTTGGTTTGGTTTGGTTAGTTGTTTGGTTGATTGGTTGTTGATAGATCTCTAAAAATACTCACGCATATATAGCTAGAAGGAACTTTCTTTGGTGGGTTCTTACACGGCCGGGATTAACCCGTTTTACTAGTCTTGTATGTTTGTAAATGAGCCAAGTTTCACGCAGAACATTCGCCGCAGCATTTTTCAGCTAAATTTTGGTCCAAAGAAGAAACGTATACAAAGTAATTAGAATGCAATATGGATATACATGGTATGTACATGGTATATGTTTGTTTTTTGTTTTTTTTTTTGGTTAATATGGTACGAGTACGAGTATCTCCGGTTTGGTCAGTCGGTCGCATCGAATCGGATCATATCTTGAGACTTGAGACTTGGAACACGATCAATACCCGTTTGGTCAACTGCGTGTCCATCATGAAGTTGTGCACATGCTTCTCGGCACGGGTCAGCTCCAGTTTCCGAGAAACTACGGCCACAAGTAGAGCCGTACAGCCGGCGCCCTGTAACGACGATGTGGAGAGTGGTGAGATTGGGCTTTGGTTTTCGAATAGCGCGCGCAACTGAGGTGAGTTTTGACCTGATCTGAGATCGGAGATCTGGGATCTGGTATCTGGGAGCCCCGGACACCCAACTCCGTAAGTGCATATATTAGTTATAGGTATTACTTGGTCAAATACAGAAAAGTGCCTTAATATTAAAAGAATATATACTGAATCAAGAAAATATCCAAAATTTGATTTTAAAATGCTGCTCTATTGAAAAAATAGCACTTAAAAGTTATACGATTTATTTCTAGTTACAGAGCTATAGAACTCCCTAAGTACGTTTTCACTGATGACTAACCAACAAATTGTTGAAATTATTTTCCAATCATTGAAATAGAATACAAAATCTGACCCAAATTATAGATAATAGTATGATATCTAAGGAAAATGTTGCAATATTCTTAACAAGAAGAGAATTTCCCCAAATTGGCTGAAATTGGCGAATGGTCAAAGGCAATTTTCTTAATTGTGACACAATTGCACTCATTTTCTTTGATGTTTTTTTTTGTTTGGGGGTGGTTTTATGGGTTTTCTGGTTTTTCTGGGTTTTCGGGGTTGGGTGCCCGGCCATCTGTAATGTCAGTTGGTTATTTTCACTTTTGGTTTATGCATTCAAAATGAAAGTTGCTTTTGTTTATCAAGTTATATAGTCCAGAACTTTTGTTGTTGCTCTCACAATAGATATAGTAATTTTATGGATGTTACAACATGTATATATGTTATGTTTTAGTTTGTTCTATTTTTCTTCATTTCTTTTTTCTTTTTCTGTTTTCTTCTTTTTTTTTCACTTTGTTATTTCGTTTGCTTCTCGATGGTTGAACGATTAATGGGTGAGTGGGTTGAATGAGTATGGATGTCTAGATGAATTCCTTCTAATTGATATTACGATATAGATGGATAGATTCGAATGCAGCAACGTTTTTGGTTAGAATTTAGAGATACGGAGTTGGATGTGGGGTTTAGATTCGGATTAGAGTAATATCAAAAGAGTTAATGGCTTCGGGTTCGGCACATGTCTATATGTAATACAACAGTTAGAGGTGTCTGGCAGAGAGTTACATACACACATAAGTACGAAACAATTAGCTAGGGAACAAAGTCGAAACCATAAATCACAATTCATAGTTAAGTTAGGATTGGAAATATCTATCATAGCTTTAATTACTTTTTTTTTTTTGTATTTTTATTAAGTTTTTTGGACCACTACGACATGATAAATATCTCAAAAAGTCTAAGAAATAAGCAAGATAGTCAGACGACTGGTAGAGGGGGAAATCGAAATATAGTAGTTATATATTATAGAGAGAGAGAAGGAAAGTAAGCCACACAAAAGCAGAACTGGATAAAAAGTGGAGAAAGATAGAAGTATGGAAAAGAAATATTTAATTCGGTTATAAGCACTAATTCCTATGCTTGATTAGCGATTTATTTATAGTTATTTTCTTGGTTTCTTCACTCGACTGGAAAATTGCTCAATCTCATCTTGGTTTTGCCTAAAAACATGCGATTTTCTCCTCAACTCAAAGTTCTTAAGCTCGTTTTGGTGATTCAACTAGGTTTTTTTTTGGATAAATGTATGTACAGTTTTAACTAGAAATATTACGATTCAGGTGAGTTTAGATTTTAATATATATTTTTTCTTTGTGTTTGTTTGTTAAAAGTGGCGGCGAGGGGCGGTTGTGGTGGGCGGGTAAACATTCGTATGCAGCTTATGTAATTATTTACACGTGATTTTTGTTCTGTTTGAAAGATCTTGATATATTTTAATTTTCCATAAATAATTTTTTTCTTTTGTTGAACATATAATTCTTGATTGTTATGTTGTGTGCAATTGTTGGTAATATTTTGTTGTTAAAAACTCACCATTATTCCTGTACTGACAGCGATACCACGTCCACAGTACGTATTCGGAACAATATCACCGAAACCAACACTCAAAAATGTTATCGCTATCAGCCACATTGCATTCAAAAGATTCGCATGTTCTTCATCATGAAATCTGTTCCATAAACCAGCGCGCGATTTTGATATCGATTTCGGTTTTTTTTTCGTTTCATATATATTTTTGTTTGGTTCGAAATATATATATATTTTTTTTGAATTGATTATGGAGTATGGATTTAATCAGTTGTAGTTTCAGTTTCAGGGGTCAAATTGAATACACGCGTTTATTTTTTTTTTAAATGAAAGGGAAAGAGAGATAGAGAAAAATATCGTATTGTTGGCTTAATGTTCAAAAAATAAACCATAAGAATCCATTAAACAACTAAATTGGCACAGGTAAAATAAGTCGAACGTAAAAATCAAACAATAAAATCGTAACGAAAATAGTAACAAAAACGATAAACGATACAACGGAAAAATTAACAATTGTGGAAACGAAAAGTAAAAGTTAGAATGGGCATTTTGCATATAGGAAAACGAGATTAACAACAAATGGACGAGTAAACGGGTGAGCGCACACAATACAGTGGTTCAAAAAGAGCTTGATGAGGTTTATATTGTTTTTTTTTTTTTTTTGGGGGAGAGGTTTTTGATTTTCGGATATATTGAAATGTTGACAGTTATGAACGTAACCGTTAATATATATGTATATATGTACAACCTTGGGGGTTTTTTTTTTGGTTTTAGCCCAATGTAAGCTTGCTGTACAAAAATGTGAGAGTTGAAAATATGTATTTATATTTTTTTATGTAATCTAGTGATTTTCTTAAGAATGGAGCTTCTAGGGTGCAGAAAACAATTCAATTTAATTTTCCAAGGCTCACACACACACACACAGCGAGCCACTCACACAAGCACACTCACACCCAGACAGTTAAATGTGCACATTAATAGAATTTGCCGGGGCTGTCAGAAAAGATTTGTTTTGATTTTTGTTTTTGTTTTTGCCAGGAAGCAAAAACTTTTCTCGTTTTTTTCCTCTGCTTCCTCTTTAAAATATATCTGTGGTTGTGTGTGTGTGTGTGTCAGGATTTTTTTGTTTTAGTTTTTGCTGGCAGAAAAAGGACAAAAAGAAAAGTTACATTGTTATCTGCGCTCTTTAATGCTGCAAAAACACACTCACACACACACACACACACACGTGGTGATTATGCACATATATTTAAATATATATAAGTATGCTTATGCTTATAATACAGCACACAAACACACACACGCACACAAAGTGGGTGGTAACATATATGTATGTTTATTTATTTGGGTGATGATTTACAACAGATTGCCAGTGTGTGTGTGTGTGTGTGGGAAGGTCGTGTGTTTGCTTGTATTAATCGCGGTCTGAGTGAAACAAAAACCAGATAGAGCGAGATGGATATAGATATGGAACTATTGCTTGACATTTGCTTTCCGCATTTTTTCAGTTTATTTTGGCTTTTTTTCTTGTTTTTGTTGTTTTGGCGACGATTTGGGCAGACAAAACGGAATCTAAAATATGTGCGCTGAAATGTATGCTACGAAAAATGGATATGTGTTCTTTTTCCTCCTCTTGTTTGTGTGGGTGGAGCCTCCATCAAAACGGATTTTGTATATTTGAATTTGAATTTATATCTTGGTAAGGGCGGCAAGGGGAGGGGGGGATTAAGAGAACGACGACAAGATAGGTCAGGGAATACGCCCACACACGTACACAGTGAAAAAAATGTGTAACATTTAAGCATCTTTCATATCGAACATCGAAATTTCTTTAAATTTTTCTCGTATCTAATTCAATACTATTACTCTGAAATATATTGAATTTCTTGTTATCATTGTTTTTTTTTTTGCTTATTAACTATTACAAGTGTTTGGTATATTATTCTAAAATTTTTTTAATATCTGGTATTTTTTTAAATTTGAATATTTCTTATATTATTTTCGTCCAACAAAATTTTAAAATTTTGTGCAGCACACAGAAATTGTTTTAAAATTAAGTATGTGACTTAATACCAGCCAAATGAAAGGTTTTATAAAACTTGCTCCTAAAATTTGAGCAAATTTACTGTATAAGACAAAAATCCAGTGTTGCAAAACTCTATGGATTCTGTGATTCCAAAATAAAAATTCGGAAGTTAGATGATAATATTGAAAACAATCTTTCTATCATAACGTAGTGATACAATTTGTGAAATATTCAGAGGGAAATGTAGAGAAATTTCAAATCTCTAGAGATTCTGCATCGCTCTGTGTAAAGAGAACTGTGTGCGTGCGTGTGAATCGGTTGATTTGGCAGGTACAATTACTATAAAATACTATGTATGTACATTTGTGCGGAGCGGGGGTTTTTGTTTTCTTTTTATTTTTTCGGGGGCGCCTCAATGGCGGCTACTTTTCTGGGGCCCCCCCTTTATCATCCTTCTCCTCCTCCTCCACCTTCTCCTCTTTATATTCTACTACTTTCACTTCTGCTTGCGATGGGTTTTGATTTCTCATATTTTTATGCATGAAAGTTTGCTGTTTGCTGTTGTTGTTGCTGTTTTTGTTGATGATGATGTATGTACTTGTTGTTGTTGTAGTTTATTGTTTATCTTATTATAGGATTTCTTCATTGTTTGAATAAAGAAATGTATATTTTTTTTCTGTTCTGTTTTAATCTTTGCAACTGTTCTGTTCTGTACTGTTCTATTTTTGGTATTTATTTTAATTTAGTTTGTTTTTGGTATTTTTAAGGTATTTTCGGTATCATAAATGGAGTTTTTGGGAGTCTTTGTTTATTTTTGGTATTTTTTTGAGGTTTGAGGACTTTTTTCTTTAGGTTTTTGAGGAAATACTTACCACCATGCCGCAGGTGAGGGTGATACCGCGTCCACAGTACGTGTTTGGCACAATGTCGCCGTAGCCGACACACAGAAATGTGATGGCTGTTAGCCACATGGAGTTTAGCAAATTCGCGTGCTCCTCATCGTGGAACCTTTTTTTTGCGGATCGAATCGGTTCGGATCATATCGGTTTTTGGTTTGGAATTTATCGGCATGCGTTTGGCATTGTGGGAATATATGGGGTACGAATTTCAGTCATTTCGTTTTGATTTTTCATTTATGATACGTTTGTTTTTTGTTTGGTTTTATTGATTTTTGTTTTGCCGTTGTTGTATTTTTTTCGTTAGCGGTTTTACGTTTTTTTTTTTTTTTTGCGGTTTTCAGTATACAAAAATATATATAGAGAATTCGGTATTTCAGATGCGTAGTGCGTATTTCGTATGCGTATTCAAGTTGCGGTTATTCGGTTGTTGTTTGGTATTTTTCATATATATATTCGATTTCATACATTTTTGTTGGTATATATATTTTTTTTTGCAATTTGTGGATACAGAAGTAGGGTGAGAAGTGGAGTAAACAAATAAACAGATGTGAAATTATGTGAACATTTTTTGTTTAAATTTTTCTATTTTTTTTTGGTTTTGGTTTTTTGTTCTCCAGAGAAATTAAGAATACAATTTGATAAATTTGTTTCATATTTTTAGACAATTTCCATGTATTAAAAGAGTACTCATAAATACAACGAAAATCAAAGAAATAATTAAAACAATTACAAAACCCAAAAATAAAGAAAAAATTTGTTAAGGGAAAACAAAAAACAAGAAGGAAATTAAATGAAACAGGAAAATAATTTGCTTTATCTTTTTGGCTTGTTTTTTTTCTTTTTGGGCAACGAATTAAAAGTCCTTAATAGAATATAAGAGCGAGGTAGTAAGATAGATTGAAAGATACAGATAGGTAGATAGATTCTTTTTGTAAAGAGGGCGGCGGGGTAATATTTTGAAATATACAATGACATGGATAATATTGAATAATTATAGTTTGGATAGTAGTTTGGCAATTTGATTACAACACTTGCTTCGGCATCGGTTCAAAAACTGCTTTCCTCTCAATAATACTCCTTTTATCCTCTTCCTGCTCCTTCTTCTTCTTCTTCTTCTTCTGCATCTCTTCCTGCCGGGGCATGAAAGTCTGATTGGAAAGGGGGGTTCTGGGATTGGGCTTGGGATTTGGGTCTTTGTCTTTCAACTGATAACTCTTGATCTGAACAGCACAGATGCGCACATATGTAGGTACATATATAGTACTTCGCACTCACACAAAACGGCGCACACTTGTGACTACATGCAAATCGACTAAAATGGCCCATCCGGCAGTTATGCCCCATAATACCCCGCTGTTCTACTCGAAGAGGCCACCACCTGAAGCCCTAGAGATGTGGCCACTAAATGCTGAAGCATGCCTGCCGGCACAGCTCCATTGGGTGCCGTTTTCCGAAGGGCGAGTGGGTGTGGGTGGCTTGTGTGTGAATGGAGGGCTTAAGCAATTTGCAAAGAAAAAATCATAATGAATGCCAAGAGGCCAAACACTGGGAAAACAAAATTTGTTTTAGGTATTAAGGTAGTTCCTGATAAATAAAAAAATGGTTATATTTAAATATTTCACCACTTTAACGTCTATTATTAAGTAACATTATGCTTTCGATGCACACAAAGCACACACTGACACAAATAGCAGAAGGTGCATGGTCACACTACGCTCCTGACTACAGTGTGACCATGCACTCTGACCAATACTAAATGAAAACGTTATTAATATCTCAAATTGTGAGTTTACAAAAATTAAAATATAAAAACGGACACTAACATTATATTCGTTTTCTTTGTGTATGCTTGTGCTTTTCTGTTCGGTGTTCGTAAATACCCTTTTAATGCCGCACAAAATATTTTCTCCTGCTTTTTCCCCACATTTTTTCTCACAGTCCCCCCCCCTGCACTATTATCTAACTCACAGAGCTTTGATCCGAGCTGAGCAGAGCATGCATGGTTGGTTAAGATACATTTTCCAGGGATCTCCAACAATACGCACATACACATACAGACACACATACAGACACATAGATAAATGTTTAAAAACGGAAAATAAAGTTGGGACCATAGGAGGGACCCGGCTATAAAAACAGACATTTCGGAACATAAACTTTTTTGGAAATTCAGAACAAAGTCTACCAATTTCTACAGAAAAAAACATTGAGATACGAATTAATTATGGATTTCGAAACAAAATTCAACATCGTTACAATAAATACATATACGTGGGCTGTGTGAGTTTGGGTGTTTGTTTTCTTGATTTCGAATTGAAGGACATACATATTCGTTGTATTTATTTTGTTATTTATTTCTCAATGAGATTTTTCATTTGTTTGTTGAACAGTTCACAGTCCATCGCCATGTGCCAAAAATAATATAAAGTAATGAAAATGGGGAAAGGTAAAATCAGAAACAAATCGAGCGGAGGATGTTGCACGCAAATCAATACGTGTCACTCATCTGAGGCGAAAATAAAATAAAAGTCGAGAATATTTAAATGGCATATAGTAGTTGAGGAAGAAGACGAAGAAGAAGGAGGGATGTACAAGTGCATCTGTCTCTCTGTTACTTTTCTGTCATTTGGCTGTTATTGTCCGATTTTCGACATGCCTGTGCAGTCGATGCAAAAAATAAGTATGATGTATGTTTGAATATATGGAAAAAACTGCACAGACATGTGGGGATATATTTTGGCTACAGGAACAACGCAACAACAAGGACGACAACAACAACAGCAGCAACAACAACAACTTATGGAGAGGTGTATATGCCTTCGTCACTATACTGAAACACAGCTGTTGGCTTTATCGGTTGACTCGAAAGACTTATGTATTTGGGATCCCTATACAAAAATATATGGATGGGTATTTGTTGTAATTTTCCTTTCGATTCGTTTTGAGTTAACACTTATGTTTCAAGTTTATTTTTGTTTACATATATAAGGATGTTTAGATATGATCTACAGCAATGCAGGCGCAGTTAAGTCCACAATTTAAAGCTTAATTGTTTAAATAAATATGCGTTTTAAGAATGATTTTTTTTATATTTTTTTTGTTATGTTTCGTTTTCCAAAACTAAACAGCAACAACAACAAGAACGAAAAACATAAGGAACGTCGTAAATTCACAATAAAATTAAATGAATAATGTAAGAATCGCAAGAACAACTGAATTGCATCAATGTGAGAGTGAGAGGTCAGAGGAAATTGAAAAAGGACAGAAACAGGATACCAAAGGCCAATAGACTGGGAACAGTATAGAGAGAGAGCAAGAGGGACGTATGGTGCGCCAATTCAATTATGAAAGGTGTCATTATACATGGTTTTCTTTGGAAAAGCAAGAAGAATTTGCAGAAGAGGAGCGAGATAAGTAAGGGCAAAAGAGAGCGAGAGAGAAAAATAGACAGAGCTAGCATACAACGTTCAAACACAAAGATTCAAAGTTTTAAAAAAGTATAGAAACATTTCAAATGGGTTAATACTGGCTTAAAGATAAATATGCATGTATGTTTATACGATTTAAACGCGATACAGAGAACCAAGATGGCTTAAAGGAACCGTTATTACTTTTACTTTGCTTGAGATGCATACAAAGCACGCAGTGTGACTGCACTTTTAATTGGAGCACGGTGTGACCATGCGTTTTTATGTGATCTTGCATCACCTTGTTTCTCTGTATTCTCATTCAATTCTTCTTACTGCACTCTCCAATTCTACGTGGTATCTTTTTGATTTTTAATTTTCAACTGTATGAGTGTGTGTTTTTTGCTTTGTTGTTGTTGCCCCCTTCCCCTCGATAAGTGCAGGACTTCAATCAACTTTCATCGAATCTATCGATAAGTTGTCAGTTGTCAGAAAAGGGGAAAAGTACAGGCAAGATAAATGTAAAAAGCAATCAGCAATCAGGGTTCTTTGGGAGAGGATGGGGGGAAGTGGTAAAAAACAAGCGAATCCGAATGCCAAATGTAAATAAATTGAAACACATGCAAGCATTATCCATTATCCAATCGTTCGCTACGTGACAGTGACAATTGCATTTCGATTGTTACAGATTCGCATTCGAACTCGTTACAGTTTCGGTATTTCGTCGGGGATTTCGTTTTCATTTGTGTATGTGGATAAAATGCAAGCTACATGTAAATTCTTTAGCACGTATGAATAAGCAACAATGCACATTCGCTTTTACTTTTTTGTATCGTGTATGTTGTAAGCTGTGGCTGTGCTTAAGTCCCCCTTTGCCCCTTTTATCCGGACTCTAAAATATGTATTCAACAACTTTAAAATATGTGTTATACAGGAGAGTACGAAAAAAAAGGCAAATACAACTTGTGACGAAGATGTTTTAATTTTTTAGTTTAGTAGTTTTTGTTTTTCGAGTTTCTTGGAGAAGACATTACGTAATGCTTGGCACATACATTTATGTACATACATACATTGATATTAAATACATAGTTATGTCAAAGTATTAGTGGCAAACACATTGAATCAGAACGTTAAACGGAAATGGCGTTCAGAGTAAAACTTAAGAGATATACGGATAACGCAAAACGGAGTACGGAATAAGAAAAACGGAAAAGCGAAAAACTAAGGAAACCAATCAACCATTGAGACCAAAAACAAAACGAAAGCATAAGAACAATCAAAAATCAAACGAAAATAATAAAGTAAAATAAACTTCTCAAGAAGTATAAATATCATATCATAAATGTAATAATTGAATATGGCCATTACCTTTCGCACTGTCGCAGCGTCCAGGATGCGATGATCCACAGCGAGACCATGAAAACCAATAGAACCGTTCCCGGGCATATTGTCATTAGAGTTTTTAAAACGAATCTAAAACGGATTGGCAATAATTGGAGTTAGTGAGAATATAATAAAAATTATAAAATAAAATAGTAAGCAATCAATACGATTTTGAAACACATAAAAAAGCTTCAAAAAGTATGCAACAATAATTTATTCTGAAAATCGATGTTAATAATTTCACTGCATACTTTTAGACATCTTTAAGAGTGATTCACCTATCATTTATATATTTAACTTAAATTAATAATGTTATAATTATAATATAAATATAATAATTGTTCTAACTTTTCTTAACTCACCTTGTGTTAAAATTAATCCTATTGAGAGCGCCAATGCTCCGTGATGATGCGTCTGTGAATAGCTTTGAATGCAGCAGCATTACGCGGCAGATTAAATATAATCGAAGGAACATAGGTAATGATAAAGCTACGTCATATGGCACCATTTCGGTGCCAATTGTTTTATTCTTATTGGCCAATTTCGTCGTCCACTGGAAATAGTATTCGCCAGGAATTGGATGTATAGCGCATATAAAAAGTTCTAACCCTATTTGACTAATTCGTTGCCATGTCATTGCGATCCTCCAATCGTCGGCGCAGTTATCTATCATGAATAACTGTGATTTTTTTTTCGATTTCGATTGGGATTGGGTTTATAATCGCATATAGACATAGATACATGGGTATACGATTGTTTAGTTCGTTGGTGTGTGCCAAAAAAGAAAAGTAAACGAGAAGGGAAGAAAAAGGAGAACAAGTATATAATTTATTAATTATAATTGGAGATTTATTGATTGGGTTTTTGTTTTTTTGCGACTAAACAAAAATGAATTACACTCAAATATACGAGCATGAATTATTTGACAAGTACAACGTCAATGGGGTGTATGTGTGGGTGTGGGTGTGCTGGTGTTTAAGTGTGTGTGCCTAGGTGTGTGTTAATGGTTTCTGTCTTAGTGGTGGAAGCAATTTCCGAGTCAAGTTCAAGTATCGTAGGCTAGGAATCTTCTCTGAAATTCATTTCGTGTCTTATGTTTTATTTCTTATTTTTACTTTTTTTTTCTTGTTATAGATATAGGTATAGGTATTGGTGTGTGTGTGTGTGTTGTGCGTGTGTGTGTGCTCTGGTGCATGTGTGAGTGCAAGTACTTACTAGAAAGCAGCGTGCGTGTTCTCGTGTAATTAGCACATTTCACTCGGTTTCGTTCTTGTTTTCTTGGTTGCTGTTTTACCTTTATCCTTTTTCTTAACTTTCTCGTTATCAAATCACTTTTTCTAAAGTTCAAAATCACCCCACACTTGATTTAATCGGGGGTAATCGGAAGAGTCCTAAGCTTAAACTGCATTAATTTAATGTTCGCAGTGCAATTAGGCCATAAATACAAACATCTATCAATATCACAACAGCTAGGCGGAGTAGAAATGGCGAAATATCGAAGTTATCGGTGGTTTTACAAGTATTATCGATGGTTTTGGAAGCAAAATCGATAGACATTGATATTTCCCCATCTCAGTTGCAAAGGCTATTCGCACAAGAAGCTAAATGATGTGAATTTCCCCTCTTTTGCTGGGGAAAGGCATGGTCTCCTGATTTGTGTGTCATTCGTTTTTAATTGCATATGAGCCATTCGCAAGTTAAGCCGACTGATTAATTGATTATCGATTAACGACAAGGTCCGGTTGCAAGGTCTTTCCTATCTCACATTCACAAAGTCCTGTGTTCTCTTTTTGGTTGGCCAACTTTAGATGTTTTTGCCTCTAATTTTGGTGATAGATGGGTTTGATGTTTGATAGTACATATATCGATTAATATATATATAAAGATATATATATATATATTTTCAGTATCGACTTAGCAATGGGAATGCTCATATGTATGCGGGTATGCTTGTATGTATGTTGTGCACATGTACATCTATGTTATATATGTGCAAGCCGATTGGAAAATGTTTCTCAAATGATTTACGAATTATTGGAAGTTTAATAAGGAAACATAACCTTTAAAAAGTAAGGTTCAACTTGATTTTAAAATGACAAAGTAAAAGGCTTTGAACGTTTTTGTTTATGTTTAGAGTCGTTCCAAGACCAAAGAAAAACCATTCTCAAACAACTAAATTTGTTATATCTCAAATTTTTTTCCAAATGGAATCATAAAATTATATTAGGACTTTGGAATAAATATTGCAAATTTAGAAAGAATTTGTAGTTTAACAGTAAAGTTTAGAGGTAAGTAATTAAGCTCATTAAATGAAATCTAAAAATAGTTAAAATATTTTCGTGTTTTAAAAATTGTTATAATCTTAGAAACCTTCTACCATCTATCAGGAAACTTGCTTCTTAATTCTTTTAAAGCACCACCTTAATTTTCAACATTTCCACAATCGATTCGCACATGGCCAGTGTTTACTGTATGCTGTACTGTACTGCAAGACAAGGTGAGATTGCGGTTGGGTGGTTTGGGTTGTTTCTGGGTGCAAAGCTAAGCCACAGTTTTCGCTATATAACAGCCAAGCGGTTGCCTTTGATCTTGGATGGCGTGTGACAGTATTATTGGTTTTGCAGTTTTTTAGTTTAGATTTCAGAAAAAAAAACAAAAAAAAAAGGATTGACTATATATACACTAGACACGATATAGGTACAGACGCGGGTTCAACTAAACATCGACTTGAAGTTTGCTTGATTGCTGCTTTTTGGCTTCAGTATGCATTTTTGGGTATACATATGGCATACATTTATATATGTACGTATACCCAGTCTAAGTACGATCTATGGTTTATCTACTCTAGGCATGTTCTGTTGGTTCGGTTTATGGTTTTCAGTATTTAGTTTTTGGTTTCTGTTTTTGGTTTTTGATTTGAGTTGGTTTTGGTATTGGTATTGGTTGCTTCCGTATATGGTACATAACACTATGCATGGTTTTGATTTGGATTTACTCACAAATATTGAAGTATGTATGGTAGATATTATAATAAGTATTACTTACTGAATTCTGCAAAGCATAATGGAAGGTAATTACATATTAAAATTTTACTCTTAAACATCAACATTAATTTAGGGGTATAAACATTTATTCGGAGTTATTATTATAATAGAGAGAGAACAAATTGTGTGAAGAGATTTCGAATTATGAGATTTTTGGGAGGGGGTTTATTGTATATATATATATAGAAAGTATATCAGCTGACTGACTGGTTTGATTGACTGGTTGATTGACGACTGGTTTTGTTGATTGATTGACTGACAGACGACTGATCAATGACCTGACTTGATTGAATCATGGACATGGAAATGGTTAGATGCAGTTGTGAGAGTTTTTGGGGTATAGGGTTTATTTTTTTCGTTTTTGCTTTAGCTTTTTTGATTGCGATTGCGATAACGAGGCTGATTTGCTGACTATCGATAGCCATATCGAGTTATCGATATGGAAACTTCAATTACCAATCCAAATTCGATCACTGAACACAGGACTTTGTCCCTACAAACATTAGTATTACAGTTTCATTCGATGAAGCTAACGAAAGTTCAGGGTTTTCGAGTATCTCCACTTCTCTTCGGTTTTATTCGAGTATTTTGCTAATAGATAATATTGTTATCAATCATGTTGTTGTATATAATAATGTTTTGTTCATGTTTTTAGATAGAATCAATAGAATTACGAACTAGGCAAATAGATGCTCCCATGCTTTCTACATATTTCTAAGTTCCAAACGAAATGACCCCCAACCGTAATTTTCTAATCGGTTGGGGTATGTTTTCTAGTTATATTTATTTTTCTAAATATTTTTAACTCATGCCAACGATAATTTTTAACACATGTCTTAACTAAATTTACTGGTTTTTGTAGTTAGTTTTTTTTTTTGTAAGGTAAACGAAACGAGAAAAGTAAGACGAAACCAATAAGTTCAAGAAGAGGAAGTAGAAGTGGAAATTGTATAGATTATATATAAATATATATATATATATATGGATCATATATATCAAAATGTTGAGCAAATTAAACAAATTATAGTGCTGTACATGCAACTGGTATTTGAAGCGCATATTGGAGGTAAACGAGTACGAAAACAATTTTGGTATGGAATGCATTGAATTGTTATTAAATTCCGGTCTATATTATGTTTAGCGGATCTGCGGAAAATGGAAATGAAACGAAATAAAATGAAAATGCCAAGATCGATTGATCGATAAAAAGAATTTCACCACAGAGGATGTAATTTTTATTAAGGTTGGGTTCGCAAAAGGTTGTTTTACAATCTGATAATAAAATGTAATATATTTTTTTTGAAAATTTTTTTAATAACACAATAGGTTAGCTTAACTTGAGAGATTTGGCTTAAATGATTTTTAATTATACTTTAAAAGCGAGGATTTTGAATTGAAAAACAACTGTGGTGAACAGAGTGAGTGTGGTCAAGGTGAGTTGGGTGAATGAGAATGGTTAGCTTTATGTACAGTGTTTCAGCTTTCATAACCTTTTCTTTTTTTCGTTTTAGATTTTTTGAGGTGGAATGAAACTCTCTTCTTTTGTTGTTTTTGTCTTTTGTAGGGGGACTTTATGAAAAATGTCCAGAGAAATGGTGGAATGGAGCAAGGTAAAGAGGGGAACGTGGGAAGGTGGATTGTGGAATGAACGAATGGGGCAAAGGAACCGGAACCGGAAACGGGTTGTCACTTTCTCTCACTCACACTAACTTAACACGGCACATGCACTCTCTATCGCGGTCTTCCATACTCTTGCTCACGCTCCCAATATGCGAGAAACACATTGAAAGTAAAAGGAAAAACAATGGAAAGTAAGTTGAAATCATAACCGGATACAAGAAAACGTTTTTCAACAGCAAACAAACAAACTAACTAACTAACAAACATACAAACAAACCGAGATGGCGATGATGACAGGTGGACAGGAGGGGTTCTTGGGATTTCGAGGGGTTAGCATGACCATAGAGGGGAAATTAATTTATTTTTTTTTTGGTTGGGGGAGGGGATATCTGGGGTACTATCGGTTATATGGTGACAGTGAGCGAGAGTGACGACGGCAACGTTAAACAGTTAACGATGACGACCATCAGCAAGAACATCAATAACATCTGGAAGAGAAGAATACAATTTGCACTCACTCTCACCTGCACTTCCAAAGCATGGTAAGCTACTATAAGTCCTAAAAGAATCACAGTCGAAACAGATATTAAGGTTTTTAACGCTGTCGAGTAGAAGGATGCCTGCAAAATAGGAGAACAGTGGGTTAAGAGATTAGTTATAAAAGTCTTATAAGATTTATGGATAACATATTGGTCAGGATTTAATTGATAGTGGCACAGCTGAGATTTTAAGCCACCAATCTAAGCATTTCAAATAATTTCGAAATAAATCTATTAGGTATTATTTATTAAAAATCAAGAGGAGAGAAAAGAGTGAGGATAGCGTCTCAAATTGCTCTGGGTAAAAGGGAGACAGCAATATTTAAAACTCTCCGAAATGGAAAAAGAGATCAAAAGCAAGATGGCGGACGTATCAAAGTGATACGCCCTGTATTTAGATAGAATTGATACAGCATTTAAAAAAAATAATATCATATCACTTGTTAAACATTTTTTTAACAAGTTTATTTTGAAAATTTTCTTGTAAAACTATACGCATGATTTGCTTACCTTTGTGTAGACACCAGCACTGCTCAGCTCATTTTCGATTACCATCACGATGATCCCGAACATGCCCATGACCAGGGCGTAATCGCTGATCCGTTTGCGCTTCTCGAAGAGGGCTTTCCTCTTTCCCAGGCGATAGCCCACATTGGGTTTGTGTTTGGCCGAGTTTGTTGATGGCTTCCTGGACGTATTGCCGCCAGTAAGAGCACGTTCTTCCATATACCTGCGGGGTTATTGGAGTTCAATCAGATTGACAATGGGTTCTGCAGAGCCCACACTCACTACCACACTTCCCACTCCACACTCGCCATCCATTTTGTTGTGCTACATTTTCCACTACCAATAAATCGATTGTTGGCTACTTTAATTAACGGATGTGTTGGGGGATGTAATTATAGTATCAACACATTTTCACTCTATACAGCTATTGGTCTCTAGTTGGTTTTAATAAATTGATGGTTTACTATAATACTTTAATAACAAGGGATTTGTATTGGTATTATATGATAAATCATTAATCTCTTTAGTGATTTATGTCTTTGTTCTAATATCGAATTAAATTTAATTATTTAATCTTCAGTCAATGCTTTGATTGCACTTCCATTCATTTTAGTTTCTTTGATTCTTTGACCTTTCAATTCAATTTTTTTTTTAGCTATTCAACCTTTTCATTAATTGCATGTTTTTTGCGGTAAGAATATCTAAGTATGCATGTAACATTAAGCTCTTTTAATTCCCTGACATGCATGTTTCTATTTATGGATTGAAATCTAAAGCTACTTGTGATGTGACTATTTATTTATAGGCTTCTAATGAGCTTAACTAATGTGGGTTTTTCTCTAATTGGTATGTGCAACACTTTTCATAATATCTCAACAGAAGAGTATGCAATTTATAAGCTGATCTATTTTTGTTTAGATGGTTAGATTTTATTCCTGATTGAGCAGGTACCAACATAATGGATTGACTTAGATAGACTGCCAGTGATATTGTTGAATTTCCTTTCATTAATTGAATTTTTATTTAATCAACAAGGCTGTGCCTTAGTTGTTTTTTCATCCTGTTTATGTATTGTTTTGTTTGCCTTTTATTCAAATACCCATTATTTAGTAACAAACAATTATAAGGGGATTAATCGTTAACTCCTGATCCACTTTCCTTACAATTTTCACAGGTTCTCAACCCCCTGAGGGCTTTCCACAGATCGCTGACTAATGCTTAAGTGGCTGGAGGTCTGTCGAGACTCCTCTGAGGTGGGGTTACTGGGGGTTAAGTCAACCCAACTCAACGGAACTCAAGTCGAGCGAATCCAACTCAGCTCCGCTCAACTCTAGTCGGCACCTTAATAAATCTTACAGCCTGAATGACAGATTTGTGTGTTTTCGCTTTGCTCCGGCTTTCCTAAATGTGTCATATCAATTTGTATCTTATAGATACACAGACACCGATGACGAAAAACGGAAGGGAGCGGGCAGGGGGTATTGAGAATTTGTGGGGACCAAAACCCCAGCTCTTTGGATGAGCCAAAGATGGCCAATAAAAATTTTGCTGACAAATGAAAACATATACACACACAAACACAGCTGGCTGTCCTCGTTTTCGATGCCCATATAGCCACAGTCACAATCGTAGTCATAGTCATAGCCATATATCCAATCCCCTGTCTTTTTGCTGCCCCCTCTATAAACTGCTGAACTGTGCCAAATTGCCAACGTGATTGCAGGAAAATATCTTGCCATCCACGACATTCATAGAGATTTATGTGGACACCAGAGCAGCAGAGGACCAAAAGAACAGAAGACCAGGACTCAGACCAACCCAGAATCGAATCCATTCGTGAGCTGAATTCACTTTAGAGTGCTCAAATTGAATCGGGCCGGGCTCTCGAGCGCTTCCCAATGAATATTACACCGGACATTTGCCCCATTTCAATTTTCGCCCACGCAATATCATCATCATCATCCCGGGGTCACTTGTCCTGACATTGACAGCTAATTACTGTCCCCGGGTCATCCATCAGTCAATGATTTGCTCACAGTTACGGTTATCGTTTCCCTCAATATCGGGCTTCAGTGGCACGGCACTTTCATTAGCTCGTACACTGAGCGAAAATTTGACTTTTAATTAATTTCAAAACAAATATATCGGGGATGCAACTTTCAAAGAATGAAACAATATATATTAAATTCGGTAGTACAATTAACTAATTTAATCAGTTTATTCACTGCATACTTTTAGACACCTAAAATGACATATGAAAGTGGTTTATACACTAGGTCTGATTAGTATGGTGATTTGTATCACTACGATTACTTTATTCTATCATACATATATTCCAAATGTATTTCTTTCTTTGTGCAGCCTTTTATTTCCGCATCTTATACTCTAGTTTGCTTTAATATGTTTTTCAAAAATTTCCAATTTATAAAAGGGTTCTTTTAAGGGTTATTAACCTCTGCTTTTATAACCTCACTTTTGAAAAACAAATTTATAAATTATGTTTAAAAGGGAATGATATATATTTATTTACATTAAAAATTCTTCAAACTCTTTCCCTTAAAAAAAAAAATAATGGATTTTTGTACATCGATTTTTTTTGTAGGTGTGGGAGCAACAAAACAGTTTGGATACAAACTCTAGATGGAGGAGTTTATCGACTGGGCGGGGGAGGTTAAAAGGTTAATGAATGCACGCTGCTGATATATACATACTCTACTGTCGGTTTGGATCGGGCTATACATACATTTCATACCTAGGGTAGTCTGAGTGGATACCCACTAGTGCCTCGGCCGCTTCTTCGTTGCATCCAGATGAGATCTGTTCCCGGTTCGCAATGGAAGGTGTTTTCATCGAGCCAGGAATTGAGAGTGTCGACGCCGGTTTGCGGAGCTAGAAATTATTTATATGCAAAACCATTATCAAGATTGATTTGAAAGAAAGTAATCGAATAGTGTTTGTTACTGGTTTTGTGCTGGGGTGCTTAAGCAACTAGCATTGTGTGAAAATCTATATAAGTTAAATTGGATCTATATACTTTACCATTTCTTATTGTTAGAACCTCTTAATAGCTAGCTTTATTTATGGTTTTCATTTTAAAAGAAAACTCTGTTCCTTCTCATTGGAATAACAAATTTCACTTATGAATATCTGCAATTTGAGTTCCCTTCATAACCCACAGCCGCATGGAAAATACACATAGACTCATCTTCCTGCCAACCGTACTTTATCCTCCGCAATGACGACATCATCATATGCCACATCCCTATCCCTATCTCCACTTCCTTTGCCCAGTTTTCATCTAGATTCTTGATTCGGTGTAAATCCAATTATTTTCGTCTAACCAAAAATAGACGGGAAAAAAGTGGAATCGAGATGAAAACCGGAATTGAAAGGGCGGGCGGTGAATAAAAAGAAATCCACTTGCTTTCTGCTCCATCTTTATCTGGCTATAAGATAGAGTTTTGCGTGAAAACAAAAACCCAAGGAGCTCCTCTTCATGCTTTCCTTTTATACAAATACATATACATATATATCCCTCTAATGGCCGAGAAAAGTGAAAAGGAAAAAGCGGCGTGTGTGTACAATTTGGTCTTCATATTTAAATGAAAACTAAAAGATAAGTAATCTGCTTTCCTACTTGTCCTCCAATATGGGTGCGGTTTTGCATAAGCACTGAGGGCGAAAAAGAGAGAGAGAAAGTCGAAAGAAAGTAGTAAAAGTCGTAAACTAGACAGACACACACACATACTGCCACAGAGAGAAAGCGAGAGAGGGCCCCACAGGACCGCCTAAAATTCAGCTTGGAAATAAAATTCCTTCCTTCCTTTAGCTGCTATTAAGTTTTTTTTTGCCTGAATTTAAGCTTCCTTTGCCTTCTTCCTACTGCTCACTCAGTTGCTAAATCCAAATATTTGTTTATAAAGAACAGCACGGTCCCCCCTTTTCGTGTCCCATTCAAAAAAGACACCTCTCTGGGAGAGAAAAGACTACGTGACTGGGCGACAAGGCCCGAGCTTAACTTGTACTTCACTTACGGGATCTTGTGAGAAATAGAATAGAAAAAAGAAAGTATGGGAAAGCTCTGGACTGGCTCGGGGGTCCAAGAAAAGCAACCAAGTTGAGTGGTAAGTACATAACATTATTTTTAATTTCACTTTCTGAAAATGTTTCAATTTTCACTTGGAGTTGAACGTAGTTGCAGCCTGGTTTCGATTATTTCTCATTTAAGTTGTGCCAAAAGTGCACTGAAAGAATAATTTTAGTAACATACACATCCTTAAAATGTACTTGTAACATTTCTGATTCAAAAACAATTTTTTGAATTTTTGGAAGAATCAAAGGCTGCAGTGTGACCAGACGCATTGGCTACTATAAACTTAGCTAGCAAGGTCACACTTTGGAAGTATAGTGTGACCATGCCACTGGTTTTATGTCCTTTTAATTGATTTTTAGTATTGGTATTTTCCTTATTTTTAAGAGTTATTTTTTCCGAAATCTTTCTCCTTGTGTGGTTGTTTCCCCACTAGACCAAACACATTTCTATTTGTCTATTTGCAAGTGCAGAATGCTGTCGCTTTGAATGGGTAAAGCCATAATCAGTTTTTGGCTTTCGCAGTTTGTCAGCTGCTCGGTGAAAGGCAGCCACTCCCCTGTAATGAAAGCTGCCTGCTTCTGCTTTCTCCCTTTCTATCTCTATGTATGCTTGTGTGTTTGCCCCCAACCTGCGTGTATGTGTGTGTGTGTGTGAATTGGTTTATGCTAAGTAGATTTGCTTGAATGTGGCTCCCGTTCCTCGTGCAGTTGTGTTACTTGTGTCACTGTTTAAGCCAGCTGAAAGGAGATGAGCCAAAGTTGTCCGACTTGACTGGGATTTCCTGAGGTTGAGGTCTGTCTGCTCTGCCGCCCTGCTCTGTACATACAGGAGGCGATCATGTGGATAATTTGACAGATTCGTGGGCGTGGACGGGCTGTCCTTTGACCCCCGGCCCCGGAGTAGTGCTATCCTAATTGAGTGAAACGACAAATCGGAGTGCAAGTGTTTTGTTTTCTTTTCGACTGAGTGCCGGTCAAAGGGATAGAAGATGTAGAAGTAAAGAGGTGCTAATGTAATTATATATATATCTAGATTTACCTAAGGATTTCCTTATAAAATGTAGACTTCAGAGAAAGTCACAAAATCTATAGGATACTTTAAGAAACAGTGGCTGTTTATGAACTTAAAGGACAACCTACCTATAAACGTTTCATCTGTTTTAAAGTCCCTAAATTTAGCACTCTTTGGATCATGAAAACCCGATTATTGTAAAGTGTATACGAAATGTAAGCCAAGGCTGAGAGTCACTTGAAGTGGCTAAAATCTCTTCAAGGACACATTTCCCAATTGAAGCCGGTAAACACGACTTAAAACACGATTCCCAGCCCTGCCCTTACAATCATCATTTCGTACGACATTTCCAAAAACAAAATCAGGGAAAGACAAATGGAGAACTTGGAAAAACTGGGGGTTTTTGGGGGGATGGGAAATGGAGACACTGAGTATCCGAATGTCGTTGCCACAATTGTTTGTTATCGTTTGTTTGTTGCGTGTTGGACGAACAGGCGCCCAGCCGGCAAACCCACACAACCCACATAAAACACGCCCCCCCCACCCCAAAAGAAAACCCCGCGCACACACGCACAATTTCGGGACACACGCAACGAGGGGGTGGCAATGGGAGGAAGGACCTTTTTGGGGGCGGGCGGGACACACACGAGACCAACGTCAACATCAACATCAACGCCTACTTGTCAGCAAAGGGTGTGGATTTTGGGGGGTGGCCAGTAAAGGTCCTGTTTTCCCCACTCATACACATATGCAAAAGGAAAAATCTATTTTTCGGCAGATGCGTGTGTTTGTGTGTTATTTTTTTTTATTTCTCGGCTGCCATGTGCTCATGAAAGCCCCCAGAAAAAAAAAATATATAAAAACAAAACAAATTGCGCATATTCTGGGACATCTAATGTCAATGATGTTAATTGGATTTCTTAATTAAGTTGAAAAGCGAAACGGAAAGCGTAAAACCCCAAGAATAATAAAAGCGGCAGGGAGAAAACTCAGTAGAAGATTAAATAAATGCCTCGAAGAAAGTAATTTAACTTGAAAATGTTGCAAGTTTTAGCCATTTCCGGGGGCCCTTCAATTGCCAAGACCATTGAGCATAAATTATAGGCAACCGCATTTATTCAATTCGATTGAAATGAAAAGCCATTGAAGTATAAAATAGCAAAGAAATTCTATTTACACTGAATTTCAAATGCGAAATGTTTATGAATAGGATAACTTAGAAAAACCCAAATTGTTCATGATGGCATTTCAATAGTACCGCACGAAAAATCGTATTATACCCCACTTGTCGTGGAATTCAATTAAATTCCTGGTAAATGGGAAAATCCATGTGTGTGTTTAACTAAGCATAATGAAATTTGAAAATCTATACAATCATTTGGAAAGGCCACAAAATAAAATTAGCTCGGGGGCCAATCAACATGGGGTTAATGCAATTGAAATGGCCAAAATGGCAGAAGGTTGGCTTTTGGTTAAATAATAGAAATAATATTTATTTGCCTTAATCATTTAAACAAATGGTATTTAAATGTTATTAAAACAAGGTAAAAGATCTCATATTAAGAAATAAAATTGGAAAAGCAAACTAGGGAATCTTATATTCCTGATAAATTGACATTCAAGTCTTTATGAACTAACTTCGAAAGCAGTGGAATTAAAGGGTTGAAAAGTTTATTGCGAAAGTGCAATTTTGTTGGGTAATTTTCCGTCTTTTGCGGCAAACTTTTGTTTTCGAAGTACTTTAGTAAGTTATTTCGATTGGGCTGGGTATATGGAGACCAACCCCATTTACCCCCCACTAATTTTATCTGTCTCTTTTCTTTTTGTAGTTTTTTTTCTGTTGTTTTGGCCGATCACGCACATGAAAGAGATGTTGTTGTTGCTGGCATTGGCATTGGCATTTAACCGATGCCACGCCCCAAAATTATTTCTCACCTGCGTTCTCACCTCTAACCAAATTAACATACTCATTGCCGACACACAGTTTATGAGCTTCGCATGGACACGCATACTTTGCCAGCTAACAGGGCTAACACTCACACACACACATGCAAAAGGAAATTGGTGGAAATTATCGAGTTTCCTATACAAAACGCGGCCAACACGCAAAAAGTAAAGTGAAAGTGGCAAAAGGAAACGAAACTAGGAGAGAAAATACGAAATAAGCTATGAAATTGGTAACCAACTCGGGGTTAGAAAATCCAGGGTGAAGAGGTCCTGAATTTTCGGAGGTAACGATTACGATAAGGCCCAGCCTCATAAGCATGTGTGTATGTGTGCATGTGTATATGTGTTTGTGTATTTTTGGGGTTTCCCCTTCCTTTTGTCGGTTTGCCTTGGTTTCCGTTTCCGCTTTCACCCCCTCGAAAGCTCACTCACTCGTTGTTGCCTAATAAATTTAGCGTAATTCACATTACATTAAGGTTACGTTTTCTTTTCTTCACCGGGAAATCCAAACACCCCCATCGCGCCCTACAATCTCTGCCAGCCGGAGTGCAGGAAATATATAATGAAGTGTTCGCTTTGTTGGAGCTTAATTAGGCGGATAAGTAATATTTTTGCCCTGCCTTTCAGCGCACCCTTAAGATTTTTTTCAGCACAGGGAAAAAAGCTCTGGATTCATTTTAAAAAGGATTCTTTTCTATGATATCATATCATACAACATTTTTGCTTTTTACTATGTTATATTGTTTGAAAAAGTTGTAACAATCCAATTTTTAGCATTTTTAAATAATATTTTAATTATCATTATAATACCTAATGCTTCCAATTTAATGTTACTATT